GTGACAATCGTCGTCACCGTCGTCTGTACGTGAGCAAGCGTACGTGGTAATGACCGGGCTCTGGAAACTCCGTTGAAATCGGGAGTGTTTGAAAACTGAGAAGAATCCGAAGACACGATTACGTCTCAACCTAGCCCCGGGCGGAAATCATTACCGTCTTCGTGTCGATGTAGTCTATCATAGTAGCGCACGCAACGCGATTTTATAACTTCCATTCCGACGACAGATGCGTCGCTTGCGACACGCTATTTTCATCGAAATAGTCATAATTCCCACTCGAAACTCTGACAGAACTGCCAGCTGCTCTCGACCGTCGAAGCGACCAGTCAATGTACGAAAGCTTAATACAGGGTATGCCCTCGTCCCGCAACACTCAGAGAATTGAATCCTGAGAATGCGGCGCCTGAATCTTCTAAAGCGAGCGTTCCTTCCCGCCTGATCGGATTCGACGGGGACCTGGTCAAGTCTACAAGCCTCCTTGGGATATCGGTTAGATGAGCGGAATTCTCTTCCCTCGGGAAACTGCTTCCTTTTGTTGCTCACAGCGAGCTACCGCTTCTGAGTGAAGAGCTCGAGAGCCCCATGAGTCTTTTTCAGCAAGAATGCTACCCGTGGAACGGATGAGCCATCTCCCAGACCGCCCCTCTTCTCCTTACAACAATTACGAAAATCATTCGGAATACTCCTTGAAGCAATCCAGACTTCGCCCCAATCCTCATCCCATACTTCAATCGCTCTTGAACAGGCTATGAGCGTCTAGGACCGCGCTTCGTGGACCCGACATTCGGAAGCAGCTCCCGGAGCGCTGACAGCCTACGAACCGGACGTACAATAGAATATCACTTTATGGACGATCTATACTTTTCATGCATCGTGGCCCATCCTCTCGATATGAGAAGACGTGGGCGGGCAGGCACGCAGCCAGGCAAGCCTCTACAGAAAATTCATTCAAGATCTTCCGTGTCCCTCGTTCCCTTTTGGGGGATTCTGATCACGTCTCTGGTTCAATCCATTACATTTTTCTTACTCACAAGACCCGGATCGATGTCCTTTGTCTCTAGTCGCGGTGCATTTCGGTCGCTATCGGGATCAAAAATTGAACTTCCTCCCTTCCCTCGCCCCCGGCGGGTTCTGCTTTCGCTCAAGCGGTGCTGATGCGTGAGACCATTATTATACCTCAAGACAAATATCATGTTACACTGCGCTGCCTGAGCTTCTATGGGACCAGCAGCGAAGCCACAAATTGGTTGTGGGGAGAGACGGGGATCGACATTTGTTTCCGAAAGAATGTCTCTTTGGCGCCGGATCATCTTGCCGCTCAGTCAGCTCTACGTTCCTCGCACCGGTCGCCATCAGCTCTTTCGTTTCCTCGAACGGAATGCGCGAGTCTTGTTGAATTATACGGCATTTGCAACTTCCTTAGAAAGCTGCTCGCCAGCTCAAAACGCTATTCGCGGCGACATGACCACGATGGCGTTATTGCGTTCGTGTGACTGACTGACTGACTGACTGGCAGTGTCATCTACTCGCTGTAGCGCCCGTTGATTCAACGAATAGACCGAACAAATAATTTACGATATGGCGACAATCTCTCCGCTCATCGTCAGCACGCGACTTACGGGAGCCAAAACTCACCGGGTCGTCGACTGCTCAGCTCCGGGATGCGGATATCGATAGACGCTCATCCATCCTACGGGCCCGCAATTCTCTTACCTGGAATCTTAGTGAATTAAAGCGGCACCCGCGAGCTTTTGAGCCAATGATGGGATCTGATTGTCTAACCTCCGTACATTTTGTATCGCGCTCCCGAAAAAATTTTCCTCATCTTGGGACAGTACTTGTTCGTGATTCCTAGACGCGAAAGCGATGCGATTGCTTGAGACTTCGGTCATCAATCGAGCAGAACAGTTGTGGAAAAAAGTCATCAAAAGGCGTCCCTCAAATAGCTTTCGGGTCGGTCTGGTTCGGAAAATCCCACACCCCTAGCCAGGATGCGAGAAGGAGGAGTTTTCCATTTTCTTTCCTAGCTGGCAGATTTGTCTCCTTAAATCACGCCCTGGATGGCGCGGCCGCGCCGCCTCCTTCGCGAATCACCATACACAAACTAATGACGACAATGTCCGTCGTTATCATTAGTATGGTGCCCCCAAACACCGCGTGTGTGCGATGGTTCAGCAGCAGTCGGCCGACAGTCGATATTCGAAGCCGCCTCGATTACACGGGGTAGATCTTCTTTTTTGAGCAAGTTGCGCTTATCAGTAGCCACCAATTAAGAGAATATACGCCGCAAAGGCCGCACTACGTGGCGCGAAACGGAAGCAACCCGATCGTTGACTAGTAGATATCAAGGTTCATTCATTCAAGGGGATGTTTCCCCTCCGGCATTGTTCTGCCTCGTTGTCCAAGGCACATAGGAGTCGCTCCGAAGTGACGTCATTGTGGCATATCTGGATCGTTTCTCGATATGCTGCCAGAACTCACATGACATCGTGGATGATCGCATCCGGGCCAATTACGCGGTACAACATGAATCCCGCGAAGTCTCAGCTCTTCATCCGTGGTCTTTCGGAGTCAGAGTCTTCTGACATCAACCGGAGGATCGCTGAGGTCTCACCGGGCTGCCGCCTCCTCGTTCAACGAGGTCCGCCGTCGGCCTCCTGGGTGCTCCGGTCTTCGATGCTGGAATAGCCCCAGCCCTTGAGGGGAAGAGCTTGCTGTAGGAGACCATCTTCCGACGACGGCTGCAACACATGGGGAGTCACGTTGCCACTCACATCATGCAAAGGGCGGTGGGCGTACCCAAGCGTATTTGCTTTGTGCAAGTCCTGCCCATAAGATGAAGACTCTTCTGGGTCGATTGGATGACCAGTTCGTGTCAGCGTTTGAGAGCATCCTTAAAATCTCCTTATCTGGCGATGCTCTCATCCATCTCGGAGGGATGGGTGTTTCAAGGCCGTCAAGAGGTCAAGAGTCGCTCTGCCAGCGTTAGCCGCTTCCTGCCATGGCGCAGAACCAGACGTTCTCGACATCCTAGGCGGACTGGCTTCTTGCGTGTACCAACGAGGGGAGGCAACGGCTGACTTCTTAGCTATCTGTGGCTCAACCCCAGCTGACGATGAACGAGCCCGTCAGGGTGTACATATGGATGCACACTGCTGATGGAAAGATTATGGCGGAGCTCCGCCTGAAGCTCGCTGGCTCTGAGGTGGATTCCATCCCGCTCGGCAACGCAGCTTTACCGGAGTCTGGCTTGCGGCTTCAGGCCCCGCCTAGCGAGAATATCGGCACACTCCTTTCGGACATTGACTTTGTGCGGGCGGTGAGTCTCAGACTCGGACTGCCGAACGGTGAGGAAAGCGCATGTGGCTCAAGCGCTACGAGCTTGCTTCCGGTCGGTTGGCGCGTCATGCAGCGATAAACGACCTCTTAGTACGTGCTCCACGTACGGCGGGATTTCCTAGCACTAAGGAACCTTTCGACGAATGATGCGCTTCGACCGGACGGCATGGCCATAGGAGCGTGGTCTCGCGGCAAGCGAGTTATCTGGGACGTCACTGTGGAGGATTCGTTCGCACCGAGCTATCGTGGCATTGCACGAAATTTACGTGCGGCCACCAGGGGCGAACAGGAAAAGCAGGCCAACTACGAATCACTGCTCAATGATACATTCTGATAACTTTTGCAATCGAGTCCTCTGGGGTCTGGGGGGAAGAGGCCCTCAAGTTCGTAAGGGAGATTGGTCGGAGGATCGAGAGCAGAGACAGAAACTCGAGGGCCATCGGTTCCATTCGGCAGCGTATCGCAGTCGAGGTACAAAGGGGGGATTCGAGAACGATCGCGGGCGGAATCTTACAGTGTGGGGCCCTCGGGGGACTCCGTTCCCTGGGCGCTTAATTCCTTTCCAAGTCGGAATCTTACTTGATTCGATTTTCATTGAATGAACCGGAAGGTAATTCATTTATTCTTTTACCTCTTCGTTGGCTCAGAGTCGAATGCGCGAATACGAGAGCTGTTCATCATTCGATGAGTTAATCATCGTTTGATGTCGTTGGGTTCGACAAGAACGATCCCGGTACCAAGATCACTTCTGCGACGGTCAAGATCTGTCCGGTAATGACTGCAGATGAATAACACGATGCGGGATCCGACGGCAAGGCGAACTCGAGTTTCTCGTTTCGGCTCCCGTCTTCTGTCTTGGGGTTCAATTTGCGAGAAAGCGGATTCGTATAGAACTATCGTGGACTCACGAGAATGAAGACTCGTGGACGGAGCGTGCCATCACTAATCAACGGGAGTTCTTTCTTCACGAGGAAAATAAATTCTCCCGGAACTCGCCCCATGAATGGAACCATTCCAACTAGATACCCCATGATCTCCTTGTTGAACAAGTGAAAGCTCTCTTATCATTTGTCTTGAGGAACAAACTTTTCCTTTCGGACCACGTTCAGAGAATTTCTGCTGCTATGCTAATTCGCTCGGAGCAGGAAGCGAGTTTCGGGAATGACTCGCTCAGAATTCTACTGAATGTGAAGCGAGGCACACCCGCAATGTCGAACCGTGTATCGTGTTACCAGAAACGAATCTTTGTTGCATTGCTTCGGGAGCGATCCTCAAAAGCTTCCAGACCATTAATTACCTTGCTAAGAGAAGAAGCTACGAAAAAAATGCGCTTGGCCAGGTGGGCACGTCAAATACCGCCGCACAGCGATCCTGCCCTCCTCGCTCTGATGGATATTGGAAGTGATCTGGAATTTCTCGACACTGCTCTAAATGAACTTAGACGCCGCACTTTCAATCTTGAGGCGGAATGGCTTAGAACACATCTAGCTGTACCGTTTCGATCTACACCGTTTTAATCCTAAAGGGGCGTGTGCAGATCAAAAATCCACTCCTATTCGGCCTTAGTCTTGCTTCGAGTTTTTCAATGACGACCCGCGTAGTGTCGCAGGCGCTCCCTTAGGTGTTGTTTTGAGAGTTGTGGTCACAGGAAAAAATGAGCGATGAAGACTTTCAGCGCAAGGCACAGGATCTACTTACTGTACCGGCAGAGCCAAGCGGAAGAGTCTATGGTCAGGTGAGGAATTATTCTTCGTCAGCATTGATAATTCACACGTCCATTGCCGAGAGAAGTCATCGCAGACTTATCTCTAAATCGAAAACTTGCAGCTTCATCCGAGACAAACTAATCCGGAGAGGCTGTTCTGTAGTCCGCGACATCAAGCAAAGTAACACTGTGCTGGTACTCCTGACCCCCGGAGTTTTCGAATTCATCGACACACCTGATGTAAGTTCCCTCTGGACGTCCATCGAAGCACGAATCACGAATCTTGAAATGGTCCATGCTCCTTGAATAAGACTAATCATATGCTCCGGACTCAGGATAAGGTCTCCAATGAACTCATCTACATACTCCGGCGTTGCAAAGATCATCGAGTTCTCGGGATCCTCTGCGATCTGTTCGTATGGCCGGACTCGATGTATCTACCTGAGGAGATTTTGGGGCTCAAATTATGTGACGCTATCGAGTGAGTGGGTTCCCGTGATTCGAAATAATTGGATAGAGACCATGGATTCGACGAAGTTCGCGAATTACATCATCCACGTCCGCCGGATAGCTCCACTGAGAATCCGATGAGCGAACATTGGCCGGGGGCAGGGTCTGATCCTCCTATCATGAGAAGCCCATTCGACATACCTCCTCGACATCAGCAACGAGCTCTTCCAATAATTACTCTTCGTCTGGCCGCTTTCGTTGCAGATGGAGTTTGGAAAACCGAGACGCTTTCATGACGTGTCTATTGGAACGTATCGACCCCTCGCTGCTGACCATAAGGAGCTGTCCTGCTTCGCCCGAGATTATCTACGAAGAAGCTGCACAGATTCCGGTGAATGAGAATCCCTATGGATCTTCTGCTTGCCGGTGGGATGTGACATCGCTCGTTCGTAGCTCGTGTCGACTCTTGGCGGGAGCTCGGCCGAGCATTAGGAGCTCCACATCCAATTTTAACAGCATTTTCACCGGTTTCAATGATCCTCTCGTCTCTTTCTCGGGCACGATGACGAGCGACTTGATGCCGTCATAAAAGGAACTTTCATAGAGCCAATCCCTCGCTATCCCGAAATTCCAAGCTGAGATTACGTTTAACCTTACCGAGTGTGCCGGGTGTGGTCTCATCGAGTGATCGAATGAGCAGACTCTCGCCCAATCCTAGCCTGACCATTAGGATTATTGCAGAACGGTGGCGAAGGTCGCAACGGAGTATCAACACGAGCCAGAACCAAGGAGGTGAGTCGTTTTTGTGTCGAATAAACACATGATAATCGTGCCTGTCGAGTGACTCGATCGAGTGACTCTTTGTGGTTTTCGACATGGCTACAACGGCAACCGACTCAATGAGGTCAGAGATCTCTATCCGTCCGCTAAGACAGGCAGCATGAGCTCCCGGATCCCCAACCCACTCCGGAGAGAGCGAACTTTGGAGCTCTCCCGACGTGCCTGAGAAGCTGGAATTTCCATCAGGTGCTCCTATGTGAGTCGAGAGGCTTCAACGAGGGGAATAATTTATGTGACACCTATGAATTCTCGTTCCAGGGTTTCGACGGCGGACGGAGAGGAAGCGCTTTCTATTTCGATGATATCAACCAACACGTGGAACAGAAAACGAAAGGTGACTAAGTTTCTGAGCTACAGGGCTCGATTCCCGGAGCTTCAACCGTCGCATTTTAGGGGACCAAGAATTCTCGTAGATTGTGAATATTGTTCACATCGTCTCGGCTTCTGGATGAGGAGACCACATCGTGAGAAAGCCCCCGGAAGACGCTAGAAACGACCCGTCCTAAATGGCTCAGATTGACCAAGTTCAGGTCTCCTTTTCCCGCCAATGATAAGCCAAGAACGAATCGAGTTCTTGATACCGAACCGGATATGCCGTGATCGTATCAGCGCTGTGCTTTGTTCCATCCTCGATATCTGGCCTACTTTCTGAGACTTTATTGTCTCACAAAGCTGAGATCAAGCCGAATCACGTGCGTGACGTGAATCGTACAGTCTCAGGAGTAGGCAGTCCTTCTTAGCTGAAGCTCGGGTGGATTGTGCCTTCCGGATGATATTCCTCGCGCGGCTTCACCGTCTCTAATAATGAGGGAGCAACATGGTCATCAAGAGATTTCTTTTCTCTAGTTCCAGTGGGCCGGAGACCGAAAATTACCGAATTTCAAGGTGAGGAACCGATAAGTTACTACATCGAGACGGACAAGATCGCGTCCGGTTGGGATAATGGTTTTCATCGCTCAAAAACCAGAATCAATGAATTGGAGTTGATGTTTTCGGGCCTGGAGTAGAGCCCGGTGCGGTTCTCAACCCTCCGGAATGAGCCCATACCCCTGTCTATTTAGGCGCCCACGAGGACCGAGGTGGGCCCGTCAACACGAGTGACGGCAACGACTTCGAGGAAAGTTCCGGTATGGAACTATATCAGCCACCCGAACTCCCGGACAGCAATCACACGTCTCCTCTCCCATCCGGCGCCGTGCCTGCTTACAAGCCACCACAGATTTCCCGAGATGGGAGTCTCTCGAATGGAGAATCGAATTCTCAGAAGGAGGCGCCTGAAATCAGCTCGACGACGGGGGCTGAAACAGAGGGGGACGTAATGCTCCGTAGGAATCAAAACGTCGACTACTCTCCAGAGCTCCCGCTCGATATCGAGGACGCAAAGAAGGGAACACAATCGCCGAGTGTGCGCACAGCTACGATACGACCGACGAGTGGTGATAAGGTTTCAATTTATGTTCCTCCACCCACACCTCCGTGCTTGGAGAGGAATGAAATCGGCAAGGATGAATTCGATACCGGAGAAGATGACGAGATCACAGGACATGCACCTTCTCAGGGCATAACGACGACAGTTGAGGTCGAACAGATTCCAAGTCCTAGAAGCGCAGGAGATCCGGCTCCCGTCGATGCCAGAGCTGGAGATGAGGGTAATCGGCCCGTCTTAAGTGAGTCATTTGAAAGGATCGGAGATAGAGGTCCTCACGCCTCCTTAGGCGCATCCTTCACATGATGTTCTGCTCCACAGCAACACAACACGTGGCGCGAAGACGTCTACGGGCTCAGCCTATGCCACGACCTGCCAGCGCGCCTGAGAGATCTATCGACGGTGATCTCATATATCCCGATCAGCAGAGACGTTTCACCCAACCGTATGGCAGAGGCTCGCCGAATTCGGCCTCCGGTACGACTACATCCGAATATTTTCGTTTTTCCTGAACTTGAAGTGATAAGAATTTTCGTCGAGTCTGAATGCCGATCAGAAATCACCCGAAGTGGGAGAGGTACTCAGGCAGTCGATATCACAGGTGCACGCGTTGAGAGAAAATCGACGATAGGAAAGTTCCTGCACCGGCGAACGTTCACACTGCCCAAAGACTCCGAGATCCGTCACGGGAGATATGCTGACGAGCATCCCTACGGGAACAATGGAACCTATCGGAAGTACAATCTGGACGACGAGTTCTGTGACGAGAGCTACTTCGCAATAAGGAGGTTCACTCTGCCGAGGATCAGCGTCCGCGCATCCAGACGCAACAGCTCCAGGTAAATTCCTTCTTTGTCTTCAGTTGCTTCCTCAGACTTCATTGAGTCTCTGTGAATTACTCTCCATACAAGACGGAGCCGTGAGGTTCGTATCACAAGCTGATGAGTTCAATGGAAGCGACGTCTTCGCAGGAGGCAGTCCCGAAACGTTCCACACGATGTCGGTCCCAAGTCAGGGAGATCCACTTCGGTGGTCGTTCTTAATGAAACCGAAATTCATCGATTCGTCCCGGAAATTGAGCCGACTTCGGACGAGCCTCCCGATGAGTCAGAGGCGCGCAGGAGAGATGCCGGATCGACCCCAAAAGGAGAACGGAAAACCTACGAATCAGTAGAAGAGTATCGACCCCCTGCAGAGCCTCGAATTAATTGCGAATCAGCCAAAGGAATCGACGACGAGGCTCCCTCTCATGTTGAGAGTAGAGGAAACGGGGCTCGCGCAGAGCCCTGCGATGCTCGAGAGCCAAGGTCAGAAACCGTCGAGGAGTATAGACCCCCGCCAGTTCCTCAGACCGTCGAGGAACCACTCGTGGGTATGAAATCTCCCCCGAGAGGATCGGCTCCCCGCGGATACAGTCCACCGGAGGAGCCTGAGCCCGAAGAATTCGCCTCGCCGGACTCCGCGTGGAGACCCGAGATCCCGAAAAGCAGTCCCCCGGCGTTCGACAGCGACGTTCTCGAATTCGTGGTGCTCCCAGCTCCACGGAAGCACATAATGGTGGACTACGCGCAGAGCAAAGAAGATAGCTTCCCTGCGGAGCAAATCGAACCTCTGCCCGATCAGGGAATGTACGTCCAACAATGCATTCCTCCGAGAAGAATTCGGGCTCTTTCGGAACCGTCCGATGTCGGAACTCACGTCCCAGACGTGAGAACCGCAGCTAGATGGAACCAGGTTCAAGTCGAGGATGTTTCTCGACACTCCCTGCAGGTCAGAGCAGGCTCAAGAGACCCTCGGTCGAGGCCGACTTCCGGGAAGAGTGAAGATAAATACAGACCTCCATCAGAGCCGGCCGCAGCAGATAATCGGTCTTGGGTGAAAGAGCTCGGCTCTCAGAGAGATACCGGAACGAAATTCGAGCCCCGAGCTAATGGGGAGCCCCCGATCGCTGCCGAGCGGAAACTCAAACCCACGATGCGCCGGGAGCCGCATGCTGACGACGTGCAGCACAGATTCGAACCGCTGGCGGGCAGGGTCTCCGATATGGACGAAGAAAACAAAGCGGACCCCACGCTCAATATAGAGACCGCGAGCCGTACTGATCAGACGTCTTCGCCGGTACGGGACCTCCAAGCCGTGTTCAGGAAACCGTCTCTGCCGAGGGACAACAGCGTGGCGACTACCAAGCGGGGAGACGCGTCAACTGCACGAAGAGGAGAACCTCTCGTTTTCAAGGAAGGAAGCGTCGTCACTCGATCCATGGAATCGGGAGAGGTCCCTATTGTGGTGACGCGACGGATCAAACCGATCCCCCGGGCATTTCCGCCGTTATTGTCCGGAGTCATCGGAGGAACTTCGTTATCTCGTCAATTTACAGAAGAGAACTCATCGACAGATCAGAAGATACCTGTGGAAAGGACGCAACTCGTCACACCACCCGCTTCCGGGAGACCCATGCATTCCGGAGGCGATGGGGGACCCTCCCCTTTCGGCCCATCGAAGTCCCGCGAGACGGAAGCGCGTGATCATGAGAGCACCTCCCGAGGAAAACTCCCATTCGAGTCTTCAACTCCCGCAGGCTCGATTCACGTGGAATATGCCAAATCTCTACTCATTCCGGACGAAACGTACCAGGCCCCGCCTACGCCGATAGCACCGATCCCAAGACAAAGAAATCGAGTAGTTCGAGAATCGAGCGAAGTCCGTCGGGACGCCGAGCGCTCGCTGCCGCATCAGTCAGTCCAAGCTGCGAATTATCCGCCGCCGCCGCAGTTCGATGACGAGATCGGACTTATAAATAAAATCCAATCGCCAAGAGTTCATCGAGGAGAACACGAACCGCTTCCAGCCCCGCAGACGGCGTCTCGGTCGAGTCAGTTGACATACGTGCCACCGGAACTCCCGATCGCGGACGTCGAGTCCGACAAACGGAAGGCAACCTCCGCTCACAATCAGAATTTGAGCAACGATGGTGACGACGAGGACGATGGTGACGATGGAACGACTGGAACGTGGGACCGCGAAAACCGCCGGAGACCAGCGAGTGATTCCCATAAGCAACTCAGTCGCGACAAACCCATCGTCGACGACCATGTTCAAGGCGATAGGCGAACCAAGTCCGTGATCGAATACTCTCACTCGAAGATGGATCCCGTTTTGCGAGGACGAACTTATTCGCTGGATCCCAGACTCACGCGCGATCTACGAGAATACGTCGAGAGGCACATTTGCGACGGGAATTGCTGTAAGGTCGTCTGTCCTAGAAGACTCGCCTCGAACATCGATAACGTTCATTTCGCTGATGACGCACGCGTTCTCACGAACCTGGACGTACTCGGTCGGCGTAGACTTTCGTATCTTCTGGCCGTGGAAGCTCAACGATACGTGAGCTACATCGATTCTCAGTTCATCAGCGCAGCCGGAGGATATGAGGGATCGAAAACCCCTGACAGCGGTTGCGACCCAAACTCTAAAGTTTCTGAGCTCGATAGCGATGCCGCGATCAGCGACGGTGAGTTCGTCTCCGAGAAAAAGGTCGCACAGGAACTCGCCAAAATTGAGAAAATTAGACGGAGAAACGCTCGATTATCCGGGATCATCCCCCCGCCTAACGCATACGGTACCGCTGATCGACACCAAGTGTACTGGAGCTCAGAACCGGAGAGCGATAGAGGGGAGGGAACCCAAAATGCCTACCGAGTCCCATCGAGTCCGAGCGAGCAGCGTGTTCGTTCCCAGAACGAATACGAGCCGCCTCAGCTTCCCGCGAACGACGATTACTCCAGAAGCAACGGTGCCGCTCACATGGGGCCGGATAGAATACGGAGCGCTCACGAAGTTGATACGTACTCTCCACCAGAACTCCCGGCCGAAGATGAACTCTCGAACGGAATTCCGTCCAACCTGGCTGCGCGGGAAGCGATGAAAAACATCATCGAGGGCAAAACCGTCTTCAGACCCCAGAACCCAGAGAGAACCGCGGTCCAAGACCAGAGAGATAAGGATGCAAGGGACGCGCATGACCTATGGCACTCGATCTGGAGAGGAGCGGATCCCTCTGAAATTCCCGCGCTTAGCGGTCAGCAGATCTTGACCCTATTCGGTGTTATGCGCCATATTTTGGGAACGAAATCTAGGCTTAAAGAAGTTCGAGACGATTTACTGACCATCATAAAGAAGAATGGAATGGGCTCAAGACGCTGACTTGAGATATTTTCGGAGAAGGGACACTCGCGAGATCAAAAACGGCAGGTTTGGTGACGATCCGCTCTTCATACCAGGGTACAGCTCAAGATAAATGAGCTCCAGAAGAGCAAAGGATAATTCGCATCCCGGAGCAGCTCGAGTGACTATTGCCCCGTATTCTCCGAACTTGACTAGGGGCTAAATGAGTATATATATTGAGAGCCCTCTTTTGAAAATCAAACGAAATATAAGTTGAAAATCTTTTCTCGCACTCCTCAGAATGAACAACTTCCTTCGTTCTAGTCTGAAATATCTTCTCACTCAGGGATTCGTTGGGGACAGTAGACGGCAAGCCCACGTAACTCCCGATAGATCGTTTCGACGACCAGTCTCAAAGTTACAAATGCTTGCCTAATCTTGTTGGCTCCCTCAGCAAGACCGGAATCGACTTGAAATTCCGGATCCGAGGAAATCTATATAATTGCTCAGTAAATCGCATCTACCGGACGAGCCGGTAGCGACTTCGCGAACGCGCTGTCGTCATTCCGTTGCGTAACACTTCCCGCGGGAGCGTTATTTCATCCGCTGATGATGAGATGTTCTTGATGATCTTCAGTGTTTTCTTGCCGGTGAAGACTAGTTACCCGGCTGAAGCATGGAGGGACGGGCTGAGGAACGAGCGAGAGGCTGAGCGATGAGAAATAGAAAGCTGCAAATATGAAAGAGGGAGCTTCCACGTGGGAGACGGAGATCTGACTGGGCACGAAAACTGAATCGGACGAGAGTTCCAGAACGATCGCTTCTTCGGAAGCGCATTCTTCCCTAGGGATCGCTCTTCTCCCGAATCAGTTCAATTTGTTCCGTCGTCTTTTGTTTCAGCGGACAGCCCTTACGTGTGGGATTTGTACGATTCTATTCATCGTCTGGCTATAACTCGGATTCCCCTAACGAGCACGTATCTGAACCGGATAGACTCCGCAGCTCAGATCCCTTGAAGCTTCGGGAAGGCGGAGGGGAATCTCAGAAAGCGGGAAATGAGCTCCTACAGAATGTTTATGGTAGAACTAATCGATACGCAACACAGAAAGTTGGCCGAAGTGCTTTCGCTTCGTTTCGTGGCATGCCTCTCGGAATCTCTTGCTATGGAAACCGCGTTTGATAATAATTCTCCAAATTCGGACCGTGCCGCTCCGTCCACCCCTTGCTGCAGTCCGACTCGTCGAGCTGAACAGATGATCCCCCATCGGTAATTCATTCAGCGACCACGTTTGTTGTTTTATGGAATCAGCTGATCCATAATTCAGCGGGTATCCCATCAACGTAACGCCTACCGTGCCCAGCGACAGGGCTAGCGACGAAGGATTGCCTCCTGTCCTTCTCGTAGGCATACGTCGAGGGGAACGTATACATCCCCGGCTGTCGCACCGAGACTGACGATAATCAGAAAAATTTAGAAGAGGCGGCCCGAGAGGTGCTCGAGGGAAGTGAAACCTCGAGGAAGCGCCGCCGTCCCCATTGATCCAAAAAAATCGTGTGCCGCGGCGGTGTGTTACCGCGGACCTTATCGGCGTGAACTCATCGACGACGCAACGAGGCGGATTGATTGACTCGTCGGGGTGGGTCACGGTAGCCGCGGATACCTTATGCGCATATTCCATCGAGGGTCGCCAACGAGAGCAACGTCTCGTGTTGGGGTTATGCGGAGGAGCATCTACCGGAAACGCTCTGTGCGAGCGGAATAGATTTGCCGCTCCCCGTCACATAGGAAGCTTTATCGTTGATTACAAAGCCGCCAGGAATCGCTAACACTCAGTCTGAGGACATCGTTGGCTCGGTGAACGACCCCTATTATGAGGAGAGACTTGCGCAATACTCTTCCGACTTCCATGAGCTGATCACGCCGTGGCGTGAGTCTCGCGATGAGTCGGCCTTGCCAGACTGTCAGGATGAACGGCACAGTCATCTCCCGTTAGCGAGGGCAACCGAGATTGGATTCTCCGCTCGAGAGTAATCAGTTACTCTCGCCGACCGATCATGGAATAAATTTCCTTCGACGCCCTGCGATAGAGGAGAACACTCTCAAAATTTGGACCTTGTCAAGCGCGGAGGGGATAAGCCCCGATCGGAATCCCTTCCCGAACTCTTCTCACGACAGGAGCTCATTCCAGCTGAGCAAAAGCGGTCGGTCCAATTTGCCCGATCTTCCGAAGCCTACTGTTCTTCTGCGGGAGACGGCCGACTATCTATCGAAGAGACCGCTCCTTCTCTCTCGCTCATCTTTTCGGGGGATCAATAAAATACTAGATATTTCAAAAAATCGCTGATGATGAATAATACTATCGGAACAAACGATGAGTTTCGCCAGGGCTCGGGATGGGAAGTTGATTGCCCAGAGCGTCGGAGATCAGCGGAGAGTCCGTCATAGAATGATCGATCGAATGAGACTCACTACACCGTTCATTCCAGGAACCTTCACTCATTCCGGGAATCTTATGCTCGCTAGGCGGTAGGCCGGCGTTCCGACGCGCGACCCCGGGCTGGATATCATAGTCTTGACTTCGTCCCTTACAACCCAGTTTTCCTGATTGATTCCATGGCCATCAAGCCACACATGAGAGAGAAAACTCCTATCCGAAATCGTTTTCGGCTTTGACGCAGTTCTCCTCCGCAATGATCCACGGTGATCAACGCAGTTTTACGGAGATGCGCGGAGCGATATGGAAGAAACACACATGGAACATGGAAGAGAGAGATAGAGTCCGATGACGCGCTTTTCCCGGAAATCGTGTGGCTCCCGCTCTGATGTATAGTATGGCTTGCGGGACTCCGAGATCAAGATATGCGACGACTGAACCTGCTGACCCTTCGCGACGAGTCCCCATAGCAACGACTAACAACAGGGTCCCTCGCCTTCACAAGAGAGACTCCCTCACGACATTCGTGTCTACATCCGCACCAATGAACACCGAAAGCTCATGGACCCTTGCTGGTTCGGCTGAGGTTCGTGCGAACTAGTTCTGTTTACTTCCCCGATAAATCCCCCTATTTCTGTCTACACCGCGCAGTCGACCAGGCGCCGTCCACGAATCCCCGAAGAGTTGCTAGAGTGCGGTATTCGGTCGGCCGGAGTGGCGGTCGGATCAGCAGACGCACGAGTGAGTGGAGGATTTCGGCTCGTGGATTCGTCGGAGCAGTGCAGTGCAATCGGTGAAGTGCGTTCCGCAAAGCGAGAACAAAGAACTGACCTTGAACTTGGTTGCAATGGATGGCGCCGGCGCTAAGGGTATGATGTGGTCGCGCGCTCTGATCTCTCAGGAAGTGCACGACGCTGAAACGTGCGCGGTGAATAACCAACGAAACGCGAGATTTCTGCGCCAGAAAGAGCTCCTCGAACAGAAGCAACGCCAGAAACGGCTACAAAGTGCGACTCTGATTCAAGCGACCGATGTACGGAATCGTCGCCGACCTCTGTCCGGTTTCGGCTCGAAGACCGATCTCATAGATGGGGATTATCATGATTCCGAGGCTGTTCGGGTTCACGGGAAATTCGGGAGTGTGGACGACCTGGATAAATCACCAAGTCCTGAAACTCAGGACGAAGACGGGAAACCTGAATTCATGGTTCGGAAAACCAGAGCGTTGAGCCTAGTTCCGCATGCTTCCCCAGACCGCTTCCAGGAGCGACGAGTTTCGGGTGATTCAGCGGAGACGCCGGTGGACAATCGAACAGCTCAGGTCGCCGATGTCAACCACGGCGAAGGGGCACAGGACCAAGGCTTCGATCGCGACGATCTCGGTGCGCTCGAGAAGCTCATCAAAGACGACATCCTGGATTTCGTTTCGGAACCGTGCCCGCGGAACGTGACTGTCCGGTGTAGAGTCACGCGCGACCGCAAGGGAATGGATCGGAATCTCTATCCAACGTATTACTTACATTTGGAACGGGCCGGACAGAAAAAACTATTTCTACTTGCCGGTAGAAAACGTAAACGTAGCGCGACTTCCAACTATCTGATCTCGTATGACCCAACCGATTTGTCGCGGAATGGGGAGTCCTTCGTGGGGAAAGTTCGCTCGAACATGTTGGGAACCGCGTTCACGACCTACGACAGTGGCGAAAACCCGAAAAAAGCCAAATCCAACGGTAACCTCAATCGCAGTGAGACAGCGCTCGTCGTCTACGAGACGAACCTTTTGGGCTTCAAGGGTCCGCGTAAAATGTGCGTCGCAGTTCCGGAGCTCGACGAGAACTACAAACGCAAAACTGTGCAGCCGACTTGCGAAGAGGAAACGCTCTACGAGAGGTTCAAAGCCGCGAAGGTCGATGATCTTCTCGTTCTCAAGAACAAGAATCCCGTGTGGAACGAAGAGACTCAATCTTTCGTCTTGAATTTTCACGGACGGGTTAATCAAGCGTCGGTGAAGAATTTCCAGCTTATCGAAGAGTCGGACCCTGAATATATCTGCATGCAATTCGGTCGAGTTAAGGAGGACCATTTTTCGCTTGACTACAGTTATCCATTTTGCGCTATTCAAGCCTTCTCGATCGCACTCAGCAGCTTCGACTCGAAATTGGCATGTGAATAATTTATGCTAGGGATGAGAGCTTCGGAGAAATAAAAGGTGAATATTTTTCACGGGTCGTAGGGAACGTAGACAGATATTTCACTGTATGCTATTAAATATTCGATAATTTGACCGAATCGATTCGAGTTGACATCCGGATCCTCGAAAACTCTTCTCAATCAAAATGATCGAAATCGTTTCACCCGAAATTCGTGTAGATTCTGGAGCGCTATCTGCTTCGAACTGGTGCTCTTTGGCTGACATCGAAGTTTCCGGCGTTCCGATCTCCGGTCGCGCTCATCCAGCCCGATATCCCCACCGGACTCACAATCAGATTGATTAGTTTCCACGCGCAGATAGAGTGACCTTCATTCTGGCGACTCGGTAGGCGAAGCACGCGGAATTCACGAACGTATAGTACATATGTAGTTTCGGCAAGATCGGGTCATTCTGAACCGACTCGATGATGAGTCATACTGTGCACTAAACTCGAAAGTGCGCCTACGCTCGGGGACCAACGAAAAACGAGCTCATGCACGACGCGAGTGCTAGCGACGCGAGTTACGTGTCCATGCTGCGACTGGATTCGAACCGTGGCCGCCATGGAAGCTACAGACTGTTTGGTCAGACGATCCGAAAATCGATCAAAGCGAGGGGTTTTGAAATCGTCTCGAGAAGCATCTGCGTGTCCAGTTCAGTTTTCTAAAGTTCGCGTGGGGGAGGGAGTGCTTAATTCTATCACACGACTCTCACGCGCGCGCCGAGCTTGCTCACGCAAGCTATCGTAAGCACTCAGTCCGACGGAATCATTCTTGTGAAGCGCGGCGGTGAAGGCTAACGATGACCACATGAACGGGGTGTTTTCGAATTTCTTACGTAAATTGCGTGGCGAGTTCGTCCGCCACCCCGTCAGACGGGCAGCTTGCAAGGACCGTCGATCTCGGCATCAATTCACAGGTGCTGTGATGATGCTGGCCAGAGCTATCGAAGTTCGAATTGCGCGAGGACATTTTCTACTCTAATTGACTTCATCATAGGTCTCAAGTTCTAGATGGAATGCCAATGGTGGAAACACTGGACGCTCTCTTGAATCGGTTTCCACTTTTCCATTCGTAATGTCCGAAGCGCACTGTATGTCACCTCAGGAACAGCGTCCGGGGATAGCGTCCAGCCACAAGCGTCGTCCGATTCAAATAGGCGGAGGTTTAGAGCAGCCCCCGTAACTTCGACTCGCGACTGCTCGTGAAACATTCTAGAGCAACACACTGATCCCAAAGGACAACATCGAGGAGCAGATAGTCCCGAAATAATGAAGTCGGGTACCCGAGGATATTTCCTGCACGTGGGAGCAGCTCTGGCGTAGCGAACCGGCGGTCCCGGGGGTTTCTTCGATGATGCAATCTTCTACGCGCAGAGCTCCGATGAAATGGGGCTTTTACGCGGCTCCGGAAACGTCGATTATGGTCACTAAACTGTCCCTCCCATATGACGGACTCGCTTGCATGATCCATCTCCCGGGTACGGAGGTACTCATCCATCTTCGGTCGCTCGCAGATTGTGCCTCACAGAAACTCGCACGGTGAACGTTCTCGGTGAGGAAAATTGCCTTGGATTCTGCCTCATCCAGAATACGTTTTCTACAGACATGTTCCGAAAGCGAATATCTCGAACTGTTCGAGCTTTTCGTGAGTAGGATGCTCCCCAAGAACAGTGCCTGGTTCTCTTCCTGTTACATCCGAATAGTCAAACTGACCTGGGCTCCTCCACCTCCATCTCACGAGTCAACTCCGCTTCCGCGCGATATTTGAGCGAGCGGGAAGACATCACCTGTCAGACTTCAATGAAACGTTCAGATATTCAGCGAGGACCAATCTCATCGCCTCGGAATGAATCGGTAATTGAATCTCTCTCAGCGGATTGAGACGCTTGTTTCATCAACACCGCTGTCGCACTCAGATCCAAATGTCTGAGACATCCTTGTATTGTTTCACGGAAGCTGGCAACCAAGGGGTTGGAGGAAGGTCGAAGCATGGCCAGAAGGTCTGAATTGGAGTTCTCCCTCGACTACCTCGTATTGAGGAATCAGAAGTACAGGATTTCCTCGTTTCGTGGTTCTTGAGGCTCCTCGTTCAAGGACCCGATGTAAAGTGCGTGATTCCACACAATCTCAGCGCCATGGTCAAGAATTCCCTTGGACCGTGGGTGTCGAAGGAAACCATCGATGAAGCTCGATCAAACTGGCTCAAGTTTGGGAACCGCAGACACCAGACTCAACAGCGTCTATGTCGCGCTTCGATTACAATGTTTGGAGAACGACTCGGAAGCGTTCGATGAGATCTTTTTCGACCCCCGCAATCGAGGCACTTGAAGCCGATTCCTCGAGGAATTTCCTGGCTGTATTGCCGTCCTTGGTGTGACCGAAGCCCTGTTTCGCTGAATCGATCAGTAAGCAGAAGTTTTGTCTGAAATCCTCCTTTCCTCTGGATTCTTCCTCTGGTCCTCTTCTTCAAAGCAAACCCATACGATACTAACAAGGAGGAATTCGAACAAGTGGATGCAGGCATGAAGAGCCGACAACCTGAAAGCGTAATTTTCTGTGGCTTCCAGAGGTCACTGCGAGCTTCGCTGCACTTGCTTACTGTAAATTGACAAATGTGATAACAGTGAATCGATCTCGTGCCAGTCAATGCGTTGATCAACTCGCCATCGACCAATATTCCTGTGAGCATCAGATTGTGGCTAACGCGAATATTGATGCTCTGCTCCGGAAAGTTTGTTGGGATAAGCGTCCTGATCTACGATTTCATCACCTGAGTTTCCCGCAAGATGATTTCATTCAATTCCTTCGTGAAAATGAGCTTGATCGGACGGCAATATAGAGGAGAACCGGCCGCTAGAATACACCACTTACCACACAAAATCCGAGATGACAGATACTCCTAGCCCCAGGGGAACGAAAGATTGGGCGAGTAGAGACTCGCCGCTCGTACTGGACTCGCTGAATCGATTGTTATATAAACTCTGACCTCCGAATCCATCGCAACCCACCTTTCTGAGAGAGGTGATGCCCCGAATCGATGAATCGTTTAAGGTTGGACTCTCGGGACTGACCCAGACGTCTACAAGTGAGATCCCGAACCGCTTGCAGAGGTGGCTCATCCAATTTTCGGGTATCAGTACGCTCTCTTTCGATAAACGACAAGCGACCTCCGCCTTCCGGATCCTTTCGTATGATAGACACAGGTTTCGGCCGAGGAGCCTCGACTTCTCTCAGAGCAGAGTGTATGAGGATTTAGACAATCCGCAATCTGTATATATGTAGAGCAAGAGCTTCTTCCGGCGAGAACGGCCGTGAATCGCAAGTTTCAGTTTCTCGAGAAGTCCACCGAGTCATGATCTTCCGCAGAACGTGTGGATGAACTTGTTGAAGCTCGATGAGCCTTCAAAGTGAAATAAACTGCGAAGTGAAATAAACCGAGATATACTTCCCGAACGAAACGTAGCTGATGTGTGAAGCGGCTCTAGACGGAGAAGAGGTAGAGGAGAGGTTTCTTGCTGATATATCAGTTAGGTTCTCTCCCTCTGCTGCGCCGATTTGTGGTATGCCTGCTGAAAACCTTCTTTTTGGAGCCTTGATTTCATGATTTTGGTCTGCACCGAAAACTTGGACTCGAAAATTTTCCTCAGAAATGAGGGGAAACCATGGACGTGGACGGATCCGGATCCTCCGAGGAATCTATCCAGGAGCTCCGGCAGTCCTTATGCCATCCATCCACGATTTCGTTCGGAACGTGGACTCTGGGAGGTCATCGACCTTCGACGGGTACGAAGGTCGGAACCGCCATCCAACGTCCGGCATCATGGGGAGAGTCGCTGACCTGCCCTTATTAAGCTGAGTGCACTAACTATTCAAATCCGTTCTCGAAATTCGTGACGTGAACTCGTGGCTAGTCCGAACGCAGGAAAAGAGAGGCAAGCTAAGCGAACAGTTGAGCGATAAATCGTTCCGCAGAAATGTCCGGTGACGATTGTATCGGCATCGAGCCATTCAAAAGTCTGGAAACGGCGATCCCATACACCTGACTCACACCTACTGGGAGAAATCCTGAGAACTTTCGAGAGGGGAATCTTGTCTTGAGATGTTTCGCTCACGTCCGCGGAACGGAACCTGGGAACGGATGTAGTGTCAATGTACATTCAATCGAAAAGGCCTCTCCTTACCATGGAATTGTCCTGTGTGACTCGGTTACCTCCGAAGATCATCACCTTTATTACCCTAAAATCCGGGAGATAAGGAACCCACTTTTTCTTCTCCTAAAAATTTTTGAAGATATTTCTGCTGGTCATAAGTTTATATAAATTTGGCTCCATGCTTTTTCGGGCCGGAAATCTGGCCCAACAAATTTTCAGTAGCTATTAACCAGCAGAAATATCTTCAAAAATTTTTAGAAAAAGAAAAAGTGGGTTCCTTATCTCCCGGATATTAGGGTAATCGTTGGTTTTCCGTATCCGACGCTCCTGTCGACGCCAATGTTACCGGGGCTATGTCACGCATCGATGATGTTCTTGAGATTTTCGGCGGATGTGGTCTCGAGCTTAATCCAGGCAAGGGTAAAATTATCCGCTCCCGATCGGTCAGGTCAGGGGTCAGTATCTCTCATGTCGTTCTCCAGGGCGTCTCGGTCAGACTCGACGAAACCGCGAGATGCCTTGGTGTTGTCTTCCATTAGGACCTTTGATGGTTAATGAATGTGAAGGCGTGTAGAGGCCTCCTCCTCCTCGTATTCCACTCTCTTGTAGTATATACCGTTTCGTACGCCTTGTCCGTCTGGGGCAATCATGGCAAAGTGGATATGACTAGATTTCAAATCTTTCTGAACGACGCTCTCCGAGAAATATTCGACCGCCGCCGTATGGACTCCGCTGCCGACCTTTTCCGCCGCCACCGGTTACTTCGGGCATATCAGCTATACGAAATCCTGCTGGCCGTACTTGTTTTCAAGATCGCGGGCGGTATGGTCCCTCCGGACATCAGATTTCCTATCGTCGCCAAAGTTCCATCTCGCCCGACCCGTAGGCCCACCGCGTTCACCGTCTCTCGACCCGCGTCGCTCAGACGCGCCTCCCCGCCCACCGCGTGCCGTCCGTGAGGAACGCACTTCCGGGGAAGGTCCGTACTCTGGCTTCAACGAGACAGTTTCGTGCCGGGCTGAGACATTCGACCCTGACAGACTGATCCTCGGCTGGACCGATTGTGATACAGTTACTTTTCTTAAAGTGATTACCATTTATTCATTCTATAATACTTCTTGTCGAGTGTTCGAGCATTCACGTTGTACAGTTACTAGCAGTCCCAAGAACAAACCGCTGTTTCATTCTTTCATTCTCAAGCATTTCGAAGGACTCCTTCCTGAGCCCCGTCATTCAAAGAGTCCTCGAGCGGAGTCGTGTGACTCTAGCAGGCGACAGCTACTCTGTTCCCGCCTTGCGATGAGGTCGTTCGGAAGTGATAGGATCTGCGGGTAGGTGCTTCGGGTTTCACGTCATCGAAAATTGACTCTCTAACCTCGAGGTCTCTACACTTAGCAGCTCACTCGGGGATGATTCCTTCCCTCAGCTGTATCCGGGATTCTGTCTGTTCTCTCATAGCATCATCATGAGCCTACACTTTGTTCGATGGTCATTGGTCAGAGACTCCCACTGTATCCGGATTGTATTTCGCTCAGAATTGTGTATATCCTGAACCCCGTTTTCATTGGGATTGATCTTCATCGCCGGCTAAAGGAGGAGCATCGAAGTTCGACTTTCACGAAAGCCGCGCTCCGATTTATTTTCGGTATGCTGATCGTGAGATCGAAAGAAAAGTCTCCTGGTCGAGCAACTTCCCGGACGATCATAAGCACCCCTCCGGACATTCAGAATGGAATCCAGCTCGGTGATCCCAAATACAATTGGATTCTTACGTCGAGCTCGACGGGGGGGGGGGGCGTTGCAGCGTTTGGAAATCACCTTGTTTAGCCTGCCTGTATGATAAGAGGCATTCGGGAGCATCCATATGGCGCCTCCGACAGGAGCATCTACATATATGGCGCCTGCAACAGGAGTATCTCCCAAGCTCCTTGAGTCGCTAGAGAGGGGGGAAAATAATTCTGTACCGCTGCAATCACACAAGATCGCGGAGGGAAGACTTCCTTCGAACAGTTCATTTCGAATGAGGATACCGGAATTTGATGTAAATTTTTATTAGCTAGTCGTCGTATATTTGTCGCAAGGTGCTACGAGAGTAATTACGGCAGGACTAATTCCGCGGCTGGTGGGACCACGACGGCGGGAGGTGCGAGAGCGACCGCTGGCCCTGGAAGAAGGGCTGCGGGAGCTGGGACTGCAACCGCAGGGGGTGGAGCTGCGACCGCTGGTGCTGGGAGAAGGGCCGCAGGAGGTGAAAGTACAACCGCAGATGGCGCTTCTGGCATGGCTGGAAGAGCTTCCGTGTCGGTCTCTTCCACGACTTTGTTCTGGTTTTGGATGATGATAATCGGGCCCCGAGTAACGCTCGGCCTCGGTGTCGAAATGATCCCGTGGAAGTGTCGGTGGATATGAGCCAGGAGGTCTGCGTGCGGAGGCGGAGGGGTCATCGGCGCTCCTGGGGGTGGCGTTGTGAGGAAACTGGCTGATGAGAGGCCAACGGCCAGGATCATGATCAGGAACGACTTCATTTTGCCTTGAATCTGGACTCAGGGGAATTTGCTTGAGAGAAGGTCTCGGGAGCCGCGTCGACGATCGACGAAGGCTTGCGTCACGGATTGAGCGCTTAAACTTGGGCAAAGATAGAGATGCACGGGCTGATGCGTAGAGCGAGAATGTATTTCCTCTGGAGGTTCCGAGCTTTTTATACCCAAAGTACGAGAGAGTATATGGCTGCCAGCCACAAGAGTGTGAAGTGGGAGAGAATGAAACTGTGACGAGCGACCCCGGCTTCGAGCAGTCGGTTCGAGCGAGTGTTCAATTAAGCTTCTTGAGATTCGCCGCGGCTTAGGAGGGGGCGGGATCATTATTGGACCCCGTGAGCTCAACAATGAAAACGATTCGAGAGAGAAACAGGAATGTCCCACAATTCTATTTCTTTCTCGGAATGGATTGCAATTAGTCGGGCGAATAGTCCGAGAAGCGAGATTGAACCCCTTGACGAGACTGCATAATGACGTCCCGATTACTGCGGAATTTACGCCCGTGTTCCATCGAGATATCACCACTGACTTCTCCGGCCGAGTCATGGAGGAGAGGACGGAGGACGTGGAACCGAAAAATGATCGGAAGCCCTCCCTTTCTCCCCTTCTGACGCCGGTGAGGGACTGAGGGGATTCGACCGTCCTGTGAGCAGGATTGAGCGCCTCAACCGAGTCATGACTGACTCTGGAGCAGCAAACTATCATCCCGTATGTGCCGACCCATTCCTCACAGATGGAGTAAATCAAGCTCATTTTCGGAGAACCCGATCCGTCGGGATGCGGACGACGAGATTCCGGCGGTGCGGACCCAATCATTGCTCAATTGAAGAAGTCTCGGACAGGTTTGCGATCTGTAGGTTTTCACACCCCGGTCCCGCCGCGCGCCTCAAAAATGTCCGAAACCCAGCTACTTCGGCGACCGCATCGGCTCACGGGCACTTAGCAATTAATCTACAATAGATGGTGCTCTCGACCAGGTACTAATCAGACCGCACTCTTCTTTCTCCGCAAGCCGCCTTTATTTCGGCACCAAGAAAAATATAATTGGAATCGTTCCACCGACTATTCCTTCGGTGAAATATCGATCAGACTTAGGAGGGAGCTCTCCAACAATGAGCTTGAAAACGCTCGGGATTCGGGGATCTAATGGCGGACAATCACGATGTCAAGGCGATGAGAGGCGGCCCCGAAGCCGGCTCGAGCTTCGGGCGAGCCATCCAATTAGGGAACCCGCGAAATCCCTTGCATATGGATTGCACATTCATGTGCGAGAATGGCGCGGCTCGGCTGGCTTCCAAAAACGACAGCCAGATGAACGAAGGCCCCCCCCCTCCCCCCAGAATTGCGTGATAGGAGGGACAACGAAATAATGACGAAGTCGATGGCCCTTGGTAGGCGGGCGGATGAAGCCCCCCTTCCCCGGATTACGCCACTGAAGATCGATGGAGACCTTTCCGCGCCGGTGAAGTTGCCTTCTCGGCGAAGAGACACAAGGTGTAAGCGCTAACCACTGCCCGATGGAACGCATGAAATATTGTATCCCGGAGGAGGAACCAATAGTTTTCCGTTGCTCGCAACAAAGGCCTTTTATTCATGTCTTTCTTGACCGCGTAATTTTATAATGGAGACTACAATACTCATGATTCCTTCGTAATTCTGAACATATCCTCTTATCCATCACAGTGGAAGTTATGTGGTTGGTTGTTGCGAATCGCGAACATAATAAATTATTCTCATACTCGGAGAGCGATAACCATAACTGGGAATGTTCGGCCGTATGCTGGCGAATATTCTCGGATTGGATTCGCAGTCCCCTTTCTATGAACCGTCAAATCATGGGAGCTCTGTTCCTATTGTCTACCTGAACGGCAAGATAAGACCGAGGGTTAAGCGATGGATAGATCGTATATAATAATACTCTGGATTTCAGTCATCCAACATAATCTGAGTCTATTCCATCAGAAAGTGGCAGAACTCCCCATGTTCAGAATCATTCAAACTCTCCAAAGCTTGTTCACCTGACTCGATGCTTCTCTGTACACGGCCACGAAATGATTTCCGGACCGGCTCACTTCGCATTCACGCTCGTCACTTCATTTCTTCTGGACTCGCGCTCGGTTTCACTTCGAACCTCTCACAGTCCGTTGCTTGTTCATGTTGGAAAGCATCAGCGAGATATATGAAGTGAGAAGATCGTCCATTTTGTAGCCCTGAAATGAAGAGAAGGGGAATAGATTCTCTTTCTCATTCGATTTCCCGACATTATCCGAGCCCATCGAGATGTTTAATTCCATGCAGGGAACTCACCAATGGCGTCTCACATAGCAGCTTATTTCCTCTAACGAGGTTGCCAATCGTCATGTGGAAGTAGGTATTACCACTCGACCAGTTGGATATTCTCGTGAAGGGATGGGTTGCAATTATTTCCTTCGAGACAGGTTGTATTAAGGAAACGCCGTGGCGATTGATTGCTACCAGCAGTTGGTCAGGGAGAGAGGTGTCTGTGGTCTGCTTGACTTCGAAAAATGCAGATCCGAATGTCGGCCATTGATAAATATACTGGAGGAAAGCGATCTTGGCATCTTCGACAGTCATGTTCCCGTGTCGAGCGTAAGCTGTCGTGATTGCGCGCTTCCAGTCTGAAGCTGATTGGCTTTTCAATAAATCTACTGGAACCATTTCACGCAAGAGAGAAGGAATCGCCTGCAGCTCGTTCTTCGCATCTCCGAAACGCACTCGGAACACCTGTAAGTAGGTACATCAATTGTACCACGTCGATTGGAAATCCGGAGTTCGCGATATATGTACGTGACGGCACGATATTCGCAACGATCGATCAGTTCACACAGATTCCTGCGTTACTCACAAGAGAGGCAAGATAGGCGGCATCTTCTTTGCTGCATTTGTGATATCCGCGCAACAACTTAGGCAGCTCCTGGTGGTAGTGGAAGATCACGTCGGCATGACGGTCCTTTCCTGGTACAGTGTGAGTCCACAACTTTTTCATGAAGAAAACTTGGTAGGTGAATTGCGGAATTACATCTGGAATTAAAAGACAGGCCAAATGTTGACTCGGTGCTGGACACCTCGACTGGGGAGTTTCATGATCTCATATCCCCTGGATCAGACCGATCCGATGACAAGGAAATAAGAGCGAAAAGACTAAGTGAGAGCCAGGATCGGGAATGCTCTCCCTCCATTTCCTGTTCCGATCGCAGCGGCAATACACAAACCCACCGTTCTTGGTTGGCCTGGCTTTACGAATCCAGTCGGTAAGATGGCGCACAAAATCGAAAAAGAAGTCGTTCTCGGGTACGCTGATGACTTTATCGGCAATCTTCACGAAGAGTGAGAAACCTTCTGGCGATCGAAGACTGAGACGATGGGCGATATTAGAGCAAAAATCTTTCGCTCGAGTTCCCGAATCGACTTCGAACGCCTCGTCAGTGTCGTCCGGGAAGTAGACTTTGTGGAAGATTTGCGTAGTTTTGTGCTGAATAGCTTCGACTTCGACAAGATGGGGCGGATACTTCCTCTGACCGACTTTCAATGTTTTCTGGAGCCGTTGCATGGAGTCTATGGAAATCGGATGCGCACGAGTCCGGAGAAATTGTGTCAACTCCTGGAACAATTGTCGTGAGGATGCATCGGTCAGTCCCGGTTCGACTAATCGGTATAGGTACCACCAATGATCGAATTTAAATGGCCGGATCAAACACTGTATGATTTCGAGTGGTACGTGCCTTCAGAAGGATCTGACTCGGAGCAAAGAGACCTGTAGCGAGCCACATGAGCTCCCAGCCGCGTTCCTCGCTAATCCGGTTCTTGTTTTCGGTCAACTGCTTCATAACCTGGCAGTATATCTCATCACGGAGGATTTCCTACAATGATGACTCCCGTCTTAGAAATAAGCTAGGCGAGATCCTGATTGCGAATCGCCCCTTGGTAGTCAAGAATCATGTCGAGAAACTCACGTGCTTGAGGGGTGCATCGAAGATTTGATCGGTGAGTTCGTTGCCATTCCGGCTACGTTTCGATGGCAAGTCACCCATGTACTTCATGAGGGCATTGTAAGCCAGACAGGCTTCTTGGGAAAGTTCTTCTTCTTTGTTGAGGAGTTTCTTCAGAAGAGGCTGCTTCAAGGGCTCTCTGTTTTTGAAACGAAAAAAAAGCGTTCAAGTTATCGGCAAAAGGCTTCGGAGTGGACGGAAGAGATCCGACTGGCTCAAAAATCCCGCTGACGGAGACTTATTTTACAAGTCCGACCCAGCCGATGCTCACGAGCTAGACTTCCGGATTGAAACGAGCATCTAGAAAATGTATTTTTTGCGGACCTTCCGTTGTCTACTCACTCTTCGCTGTAACTGCGACACAAACCAAAGGAATCGACATTGTGAAAATCGTTCGGGGCTCTGAAGCTACAATGCTTCGTTCATGACCGGACAAGGGAGCCGTTCATAGGCGCAGAGACAAGGAAAAAACTAAGAATTCGAAAATGGGTTCCGATCTTGTTCTATGCCCCTCATGATTGGAAGACGTAGAACTCGTTGTCGGCTTGGTTGAATGCGAGACGCAAGTGTACATACCGCGAGTGTCTCCAGAGATGTTCTCCGTCGCGTTTCCGTGCGGACGACAGTGTCAATGTCAAAGTTCGTTTCGGTGGCGGTCGGAAGTGATCGAGAGAATACTCCTCCAACGTATGGGGTCTCTCACCCTCGATCGGCATTGTTGGACTGCCGTTGAGGCTCGCTCGATATCTCTTCAGGAGGTGGCGTCTACCCTCCTCGTCGGCGGCAAAGAACGCGAGGATAGTCTGCGGAGGTTTGCTGACTGTCGGGAGAACATAGACGTATTCGGACGCGAAATCGCCTTTGTCTCCCGTTCGCTCGTTCCGTCCCGAGCTCCAATTGCTTTCCAAAACTTTCTCTCCGCAGAGCTGGTCATCCAGAGTGATCAGATCCCCTTGCTGGAAGCTCAGGTAGCCTTGAGCTTCACCTCTGCGATAAGGGCAATCATTGAGCATTAGTTGAGATGAGGCGCTCCACTTCATTGATATTATTTTCCGAATACAACAACTCTACCTAGTCGGACTCCCTCAGCCGGGCATCGACTTACCTGAATTCTTGCACGGCGATCACGAACTTCGACCGGCGCTTCAAACCTTCCAGGAAGCCGTCAACTAGTTCCTTGATGTCCTCTGAGTTCGGTGATTGGAATGTGAACTCTTCCCCACGGATTGTTGTCAGAGAGAAAGCAGCAAGATACGGCCGGGCACCCCTGGAAAAGCGTCGTCATCAGAGTCAGCTGTCGCATGGACTTTCCTGTTCGCTAATATAAGAGCCGAGTACGGTACAGCGGGCAGACGCAAGAGGTTCTGACCCCTATCGCATTCGAACCCAAACTACAGAGGATACGGATATTCTGTTCTCCTAGAAGCTGAGGCCCTCGGACCGCATCTGAGCCTTAGATGGACTCGGAAAGTACGGATGGAATCCATGCCATTCATTTCCACGAGGGATTCCCGGCAAGAGAAACGGAATAGTTTCGGGGACCGATGAATTCGATGAAATGGAAAGGGCATCACAGGGAGTATGGAATTGCCGACTGCGGCCTCAAGTGTGCGAGTCCCAGATCCTGTGGGCTGTGAATAACACCAGCGGGAGAATTCGGCCGCCCCGAACAATACGATGATTCGGAGTATCTTCTTTAATGCTAATCTTTCGCGGTAAATGTTGGAAAGTCACAACTCCACCTGCTTCATTCTTCGAAATGTTATACTATCCCGAATCCACCCACCACGCGGAGGATTTCCTGTGTCAGCCCGAATCATGCCAACCGGGTCGCCAGACGCTCTTCGGCTTGGTTCGGATAGATCGCAGCTTTCACTCTCGATGGTTCCTCCGAGCAAATTTCTTCAGGGGGGATGGTCGGAGCTCAATTTTCAGAAGGGAAAACATTCCGGCCCAATCGACAGATTCCCGTCCGCTCCTTCATTCTCCATTTGAATAGCTGAATTGGCGAAAGGTCCACGAATAACGAGCAGACTTGGAAATGGGCAGAAAAGGAATGATTCTAGACATTCTAGCCATGTCCACCATTATAGGACACACGCGAAGCTAGCGTTGGAATCTTGAACTTCCAATGAAGCTTCCCTTGGTCTTTCTTGTTCAGTTTTCGGGAATGGTGAACAAGAGCGCCGCCGAAGCATCCTTCCACTGTGTCTGCTTCTGACCAGAGCAGAGCGCTCCAAATTGCTCCGGCTGTTGCTTTCGCGTTTCTGCTGCCGAATGGACCCACCCACTGGCACCGTTTTTATCAGGAGGTACAAAGTTATAGAACAATGTTATCTTCTCCATTCCGAACGCCGTGTTTGAGAGGGACTCGGCCAAGACTAGGTGACGAATCTCCTTTCAAAGTAGAGAAAGCTCAGAGATTCTTCAGAATGGAGCTCTCAAACGAGTTCACCCTTGTGGTCAGTATTATTACCGCGCAGGATCTCCGAACTCTCGAGTCTTCGCCCGGCTTCACTCCACAGTCGGTCAAGCCAGGGCCGATCCCAGGGTCGTCGACGGATGACGAAATTCGCGAGGAGTCGATTCTCGAAAAAAACACTGAACTTGAGCAACAGATCCTTAGCGGAAAACAAGCCGAGCTCGAGCAGTTACCGATAACGATATGTGTTTAGTGCTGGCAGAGACTTTTCTTGAATCCTCCGTAGCATCTATGCTCGTCGCGTTCTGTGACGGAAGTCTACGAACACCCGGCATTGAATTTGGGACGCTTCGACAAATCTGAATCGGTGGACATGCAAGAACGGCTCTCGAGGGAACGTGATCAGAGAATGGGATGGGCAATAGAAGAGAGAAAACGCGTCAAAATTCCAGCACCGAAAGAATACCTACTGATATGCAGCTCATATTCTTCGCTCCCAATCATTAATGCTATCATCGTCACTTCGGGATCGTTCGCGATCGTGAGGGATATTGACCATGGGAAAGCATGGGATCCCCTTTGCGGGACTTTTTTTTGGGAGTAGAATCCATGTCTCAGGGGCGCCGACTCGTTCATGTACCGAAATGCGCGGCCTCCGGCTCAATACAGAACCATTCGTATTATTTCTCCATGCTAGAGGTTTCCTGAGTAAGCATGAGAGTTAGTATCGAACGCCCGATGGATCTGTTCCGACTCCGTCCTTTCTGAAAGGTGTTCCTATTCTCCAACCAACAGACTTTTTTCGACTTGAATAATTATGCCGTCGGGGAAACTCGATTCACATTTTCCTTTTGCGAATATTGACACTTTTCCGCTATTCAATTTAGCCTAAGAAGCGGGAGCGACGTGGGCCACACGCGAGCGAGCACTTCGGAATTCGACAGTTTCCCCGTGGCATCAAAACATCGTAAAATTTTTTGTACCCTCTTTTGTTCTCCTCATCAATCAAGCTCTCTGACACGTCTTCCAGGGCATCTTGTTTCACTTCATTTTTATAGATCGTTTCCTTCACTTCTTGGTTTGTGAGCATCGTGGGCTCCTTCAGCGAGACACATGTCATATCTTGCTCGATTTAGGAAATGACTCCGCTTGTGAGAATGCAAAACATATCAAAGTCTACTGACAGAACAAAGAAGATGGAACGAGGAAAACGCGAAATCCGCCGAGACGAGTTTCCGAATCTAAGGTGCTCGGACTGGAAGTCGGTCATTCACGTTTCGTTTGCGGGAGACGATCGCGAACTTTTCCAAGTGCGATACCCGAGTCCCACCAATGGAAGCTAATCTAATAGCCGATCGCCGTGGCGTGGGTCAGCGTGTGGTTGTAGGACGTCGCAGAGTTTACCTCTTATCCAAGCTGGAAATCATCGCAGTTTTCGGGCGATTCCTCATGTATGTTTTTCGGGTTCATTCATCGACGGGAGAAGGGAAGAAGTATATTCCGAGCTAGATCTCTCGCTGCGTAAGTGGTGAAATGAAAATGTACAGAAGGTCGGCCTATTCCGATGTAGAATTATCCGGGGACTTGAGGCACAGCACCGACAAAGCGCGCGGAAAAGAAGGGGAGTTTCGATTCCTCTGCCGAAAAAACGACCCACACCTTCGGCAAGCGCGTGCAGCGCTGCACATCGGGTGACTGAATGCCGTACCCAAGCGAAGGGAATTCGTGATTCTTCTGCAAATGACCGTAGCGAAAGCACCGATGGCGGAGACGGTCGGACGAGTGAGCGAGAATAGATTTGACCCAATCAAGTAACGTCCGTACTTTCACCGAAAAACTACACGATTCATAGGCTACGTAGACGGAGCAAGAAGGCGGAAGTTTGACCGATGCTCTCAAACCATTCAAATCTTCCTTAGCTCGATGAAGACTCGGTCAAAGTACTAAATATCCCGGAGAAGCCGAAGAGCGCTCCCACAGAAGATATTATTGCCCAAGCTCGGTTCGTGAGGAGGAATCGTCGATCGCGGTCCGGGATTCATTAGATCAGATTTCGAGAGTTTTGATTCGAAAATCCTGAGCGGAGTTCAGATCCTCGGCCTGATCCAGAGGATACGCTCGATATCAACTCGATATGGCACCACAAACTGTCAATCAATTCATCATTCTGAATGCGCAAATATTAAACATCCGTGTCGAGTTACGTACGCGCGTCATCTCCGTATGGAGTCTGTCATTGCTCGACTCGAGGATATCCGCAGATCGAGCGGCATGGATCTTCTCTCATCATTACGCGCGGGAATCTTCACTCGAGTTGTCACCAGTCCGGAGCGTGTCTGGCACAAGTCTTATCGAACCTCGCTCGAATAGACACACTTATCCACGCTCACTTTAATGATCCTTTTCTACGAATCCTTCACCGTTCAAACCTTCGGATTTGGAGCTCTTCGGTCAACTTCTCCGTGAAATGCCGCGGCAGCAGTAGGGGAACATTGCTGTGCTTGTTTGACTCCGAACGCCTCTCCCGTGAAAGCGGTGAGGGAATCCCCGCATGTTCTCGCAGTTTTAGTTCTGTGGCGGCGTCGCTCGCACGGACAAACTGTTTGTTTCTGTCCAAGTTTTCCGGAGATTACGATTCGACTTCCGGTCAATACTCGCTTCACCTGATTACTCGATTACATACGAAGGCGGCAAATGTTTTCTTGAAGCATCTGAACTTGAGAAGTATGAGCACGGCGAGGCCTCGGCGGGACTGTCCAGCCCAGAGTTTGGCTTGAAATCGCAACGCTGTCGATTCACAGCCCGCAACTCAAAGGAAGCATCAGTAGCCTCGCTCGGCGGGCTAGCTTGAACCAGGATGTCGGAGGCAAAGGCCTAGGTAATTGAATCAGAACCTCAACATGATAGGATCATGCGAATGGACCAGTAGATTCTTTATCCGTTCACCGGTCTTTACGCGCGTGAGCGGAACTTTTGCCCTCACGAGGTTTCCTGAGAACTGGGTTCGTCGTTCATGGTTATAATCATGCGTATGCATAAATCATGAGCCAGAGAATCCAAAACATTTTACTGATCCCGAATCCGATTGAGATTCTTCTTCTACTATGAAAAAATAATTGAGGCATCAAGTTTGTGTATAGAAGATCTAATCGACCACGGATCGAGTTCCGCTCGCGAGTATCACGAGGCGCCCTCGTCCTCTGGGAGAGGCCCTCCTCAAATCCTGAAAACTGTTCCCCAAGTCGTCTTAAGGAATCCTAACGCCCGCCAAAAGCTGCGGGTCGCGCTCATCGGTACGCTTTTGGTTTCCTTTCAAGCGGAGAATTCAGGTATTTCAGGACGCGTGTCTCATCCCGAGTACGCCTTAAACGGTCAGCGAATGGAGGAGCCGCATTGTCGATATCTTCCAGACCTTCTTCCTTGTTTTCTTTTTGCTCTTTCTTCCACTATAATTTCCAATCTGCGCGTTGTCAGTGGTCAAAGTTGACGCGAAAAAAAGACGGGTGATCCTCGGGGTCGATGACGACAACAACAATTTGTGTTCGGAACTTGTTGTCGTCGCCGCCGCTGCTGTACTTGATATCGGCGACTGCCCGGGCTTCTTTTTTCCTCCATGGAGGGGAAAAAACTCGCGAAAAAAAGAGGAAAAATTGGGGACGGTGATTGCCTGCCTGACCGTCTGCCAGCAGCCTGTTCGTCAGCTAGCCGAAAGCGAGCCCGAGCGCTGGCCACATTTGGCTCTCACGGACTGGTCAGAAGATCATCGACTTTGCTGTTGCGGCTGTTCGAGAAACGAAAGAGCCGTTGCGGCAGCTAAGGAGACGGCCAACCGGGGTAAGAACAAGCCCATGGAAGAGCTTACCGCAGTCGGCAAGGGCTTCTGGCCGCGAAAACGCGTCCCTGTTCAAAAAAGTGAATCGGAGAGAAAGCGATGATAAAATTAAAGAGAATGTGGAGGATAAAAACTCCACAGCATCAACAAAGACGCTGATTTGTATGGGAAAAATATGGAATGGGGTTGAGGTTCGTTTCTTCGGTCTGCTCGACCACACCAACTTCTCACCCAAAAAAGACAAAAGATCAGCCACGCGAAAGACAAAAAGTGCTGATTCGGCACCCAGCTGATAAGCTTCTCGGAGGAGACTCAACCCCTAGGAGACCACGGAGGCGACGAACGATTTAGCGTTTGTCTCCCGGATCGGGAACGGGAGACTTCTTCGCAGAATCTTGTGATGGTAGTTCGGATCATGGGGAATTCTAAATCCGACGAAGTCGAAAACTTCGATCCCGAACCTAGAATCGCACTCCGTACGCCGGGAAAGGCCTGGCTCATTATCGCGATTGATTAGTCAGAGCGAGGTCATCGGGATAGAGGAAGTGGCAGGGTTGACCCGACATGACACGGATTCGACAATATCCTTCCACGGAATAGCCCCTAGACATTCGAAGACCCCTTAAACTCCCGAGAAACCAATCGAAAGTAGCTCCCACGTCTTATATCGACTTTCCCCTTTGGAACGAGTTCACTTCCCCGTTCCGGTCCTCTCGCTTTGAATCGGAGGCAGACTTTGCATAGGACGGCAAATGGAGCTACCAGGGATGGACGGACACGGCATCCGAAGGCTGCAATGAGTTTGAGTCCTCGAAGCTAGTACTCAGTGATCAGTTTAGAATAAGAACCAATCGAGGATTTTTCGAGCTGATCATTTGATCTAGCAATCCAGTTTCCTTAGGCGGTTCAGGCAGTCATCGAAGTTTGGACCTCACGAAGATCAACGAAGATTTTCATCAAGGAAGAATATGATGAAGATCAGGAACATTCGGAAGCCCTCTCGGGCAATCTCAGGCATCGTCCACGGATCGCTGGCGAATGTTGGGATAAGAAAACCAGCGAGCGATCATCACTTTTTGGGAGGTCGCGCTTGAGGAGTTTTGAACAATCCGGTTCTTATTCTCGTAAAGCTCCATGCCCGTCAGAGCGACTTGTGTGAACTATTTCCAGAAGCAAACATCTCAACCATGATGATAATCATGACTCTAATGGTCGACGCCGGAGTCATTGTGATTTTGCCGGGGCTGAACATCGGATTGACTCTCGAACAACTCCCCGGGCGCTCCCTGGAGCCCTTATCGGTTCCCTCCAACTCGTGCAGAAGACGCGGCGACTAGCTCTGCGATTTCGCGGACTAGAGGTCTGTCTTCTCCCATAAGCAGTCCAGCGAGGCCGCCCAGGTGAAATTCCTGATCGCGGGAGAACATGGTGCCACGCAACACTTTCGTAGGCGCTCCGAGCTGGTGATCGGGAGTGTTTATCGATGGGCATTGCCTCGCTCGTGCATAATCGGCTCATCATTCGCGTAGAATCTGACCTCCATGGCGTTCCTCTTTACGTCAGAGACCTACACATTGTATCACGTTCGACTCCGAATACATGCGTATCGGCCTGGGTCGGATCCTAGTGTAAAAAAGTCCGTAATAAATACTGACAAGCTATGCGGGAAGGGGAGAACTGATTCAAACTAGCTGCTGAAGATTCCTATCCGATCCGACCCCCTAGATGATAGTAGGCCGACTAGAATGAGTACATCAGAACGGAACGATCGCTCTGATTTTTCTTTATCTATCACGGGAGCGGGACTATCAGACTACCGGGAAAGAAAACGTCGGTGATGGAGGCTGAGCATGTATGTTGACCACTCATCAAGTTGTGCCAAGATTATTCCGGGCATGACGGAAAATTGAATGCTCCGAATTCGAACGTTATTCTCGACGCCGTCTCGAAGGTTATGGCAGCGGGAAGACTCGCGATAATCAGGAGGGAGCTCCGTACGGAATGCGGATAATACATTCCGTTTCTTTGCCCTCCTCGGATCGGATTGACTAGGGAACCTGAGTGGAGAGGATGCAAATAATGAGGGAACTCACTTCTGGCTGGCGACGTTGGTTATCTCGGGGAAAGATAACTCCAGCAGGACCTGCTCCATCTCATCAACGATATATACTCCGGTCCAATTGATGGCAACGATCACTTCATTTTTGGCTAAGGGTGGCCCTGACAGTCTCACAGCTTCATAAAAGCGCGAGAACAGTAAGGGCCACTTGAACTTCGCGTAATCCACGACGTCTTCCTTGACTCTCGACGGTTCGGTTCGCTCCCGATGGTAGTAGCTTTTCCGATACGCCTGAGAAATCAGATGGGTCCAACGCTCCAGAGCTCGCTCTCCTGACACTAGATAGGAGTCCGGAATGCAGGTTGGCACCAAAGTTCTCAGTCGATCCAAAGAGATTTCAGCCTCGGCACCTGCAATCGACCAACGATTATTGTCGCGAGTGATAAGACTCATTGGGAGGAAGATTCTGGCCCTTAGCATGAATGCAGTGACGACACAGCGAGAACGGCTGGCGTACTTGTGGAATTTTCTACGTAGAACTGTTGGGCTGAGAGCATCGCGAGGTCTTCTTCCTTCTCGCACTTGTATTCACCGAACTTCACCCCTCGGATGACTTGCTGGTAGATCAAATTCGTGGCGACCGAGTCCTCCATCGGGTTGTGCCAAGGTGCGAAAATTTCTTTCCTGCAACGCACAGAGTCGTTTCGTCGTAAAAGCGAGAAAAGTCTCCACGTTTTCCTATCTGTGAATGCATTGTGCGCGAATACCTCTTCGAGAGAAAAACATTTTTTCGCCCACCTGAAGAAGAGACGCCAGGGCGCATTCCTTTCTTGCGCACCCTGCTCTTTGGTGTATTGTTCACATTGGCTGATGGCATCCATGACGTGTTCTCCGCCACTGCCGAGAGAACTAACTTTGTCGAAGAGAGCGATGTATAAAGAGAAACCGAAGCGATCCTGCAAGCCGATTTTATCTGACAGCTGGTTGCAGAGTTCCCTTGCGGTAGTCGCGGAATCTGCCAGCAAGGTCTTCGTGTTCCCGTCCATGAAGGTGATGGGTAACATTAGAGGCTTCTTCGATTTTGTCGCTTGCAGCTCCAACCACGACGGTGGTTGACCCCGGGTTCCGTTCATGAAGGTTCGGCGTAAACGCTCTTCGCAATACGGCGCGTACCCCGGAGGACCCTCTCGGATGAAATTAAGGAGATACTTGACGAATTTGTCGCTCGGAGCGAAACATCCCACGCACAACGACAGGAGAACCCAGCCCCTGGCGTGGGAATTTTTCTCTGAATTCCCCGTCAGCTGTTTACAGATCTGACAATAGACTTCGTCGCGCAACTCTTCTCGCAGGATTCCGTGACCGATGATGAAATGCAGTTTCTCCAGGTTTGACGTCGGTCGTGCCTCGAGCCACTGGGAGTAGCTGTCGGCTGCTAATTCTTCCTCTTGGAGATGGCGTCTCATGTCTTCTGTGATCTTGTTCTTCCGTTTCAGGGTCAAGGAAACGAGTCTGTTCCTGATCGACTTCTTCGCTTTGATTGTTTCTCTTTGGCCAACTTCTGCGCCGTTTTCGATGACCTCCTTGGCGTTCTGGAACTCCTTCGACTTGGTGAAGTTCCTGCCGAGGGTGGCCGTGACCTGCGGGAATGATGAGAATCGAAGCTGCAGCTCTCTCTCTGATTTCCTACCGCTCGAGCCCTCTGAGGCTCCCCCAGATATTTCCCTTGAAATGATCCAAACTTGGCATACGGAATATCTTCCGCGGGGACCCATCGTCCCCTTACGGAGCGGGGCATCTCACCTTGGACATGACCGAAGAGTTGTCCCGATCGATGACGTGAAACTTCGGTTCCGGAAGGTCGCCCATGAAACGAAGTATTGTGATCCAGAGAGCAAGCGCTGCCATCGTATCTCCGTGGGTCGGGAGAGGCAGAAGACTCTGCTTGATCGGCTTCTTCTGGTAGATGTGGGTCTGGACTCCTGTAAAGAATTCCGCCAAGTCAGAAACGCTGAAACGACGCCGTTCTCTATCCTTGAATATATCATTGATCTCGTTACTGTGGGGGAGTTCTCAAGTCCATATGGACCCCGGAGGCTCCATGGCGATTCTCGGGTCCCCGTATGATCCTACGGGAGGGGGTCCACAGGGTTCATAATTCAAGCTCAGAATACATGGGGGGACCATGAGGGGCCCACGACTCCAAGGACTTCGATAGCCGCTGCTCAAGGCTGTGATTGAAAATATAATGACCCGGAACTTCAACACCTAGGAACGATTGCTACCTTGGAAGTACGTCGCAGCGAATTTCTGGAAAGTGTACTGGGAAAGATCTTCAGAGTGATCCTGAGGCACAGAGGGAATCGAGCCTTCGGCTTCCGAGTTGAGATTGGCGTCTCGTGGCATCTCGAGGTCTTTGAACGCGGTCGGGCCGGCCTGTTCATTCACCGAATCGCTTCGCGGCAAGAAGTCGAAGATGACGTCTACGAGTTTCGAATCATCGAGGGGCTCATCTTGACGTTTCTCGGCGTCCAGAATAGCCGCTTTCTTCATCTCGAGGATCTTGCGAACCTCAACGTCTTCCTCAACTTGCCGATTATAGATGGCCGCCAGACGTTCCCTGAGCACGAGGAATAGATGTAATGCTGAAGCTCTTCATGCATGCATTTCGAGATATCACTGGAAGGGAGCGGAGTGTACCTGTATTTCTTCTCCGCGATCTCTTTCGCCTTCTTGGGACCGAACTGTTTCGAGAGCGTCATCTCCTCCTGATCGCGAAGCCTCATAGCTTCCAGTTGGGCACCTTGCTCAATCCTCATCCTCTGGTATCTGCAAGAAGAAAATATTGTTTACCATATGGATATATATTCGATACCAGGCACAGGAGGTGGCTGCCGGAGCCCGCAATCAGAACGGACCCCGTCATGGGAAATCCGACTGGGCGAGCCCAGTAGAACAGCGAGACCGATTCTCCTCCTGGATGTCGGGAAGTAGGTCTCATTCTCCGTAGCCTAGGCGATAACCGCTCCAAGAAAATTCTCAGCCCGCGGACTACTGACTGCAGATGCTCGCGAGTGAAGTCACATCCCCCTCATTGACACTTGATCTGAACTTTAATACATGGGTAGCGCCTCTTGGGTCTCTAGACATCTCGGCTGATTCACAAATGGAGAACACAGTTCTCACAGTTCTGAGAGAATGCGGAACAAAGCGTTGGACTCGGATATGGAAGGTCGCAGAGTCATCAGCTTCATCAGACAACTGCCGCTTCCCAGCTGCACGAGTAACGTACACAATAGAGCTGTCGAAGGGATTGGCGAGGACAGGAAGGTTGTCCGCCATGCTGACAGGCCGCCTAACTACAATGCGCCATGGACTGATTTCTGCTCGGAGGACTGACGAAACACAAGCACACACAGAAACACGCCGCTTCGGAGCATCGCACACTCACGGGGAGGGAGGCTGTCCTAATCACGCTTAAGGTTAGACTGCCTCGAGGCAGGTCTGACCGAAAGTGACGGTGCATTAATCTAAGCACTGACACAGAGACGCACTCCCTCGCACAGCTCGCCGATCCGTTTTGCCATAAGGGCCGCAGATTTTTCCACAAATTCGCAACACCCCGTTTCGACGCTTCAGCAACGTCTACGAGGAGCACTTCGGCAGCGGCTCTACAGGGAATTCTTGACCTGAAATCAAATGTGCGAATTCTCACCCGACCTCGGGTCGTGCTCGCGAAGTTCCGCTGACCGAGAAGTGCGCGAGCCATCCGACATCGGGAACTCGTCGGAGGGGAAGAGATCTCAGACCCTCGAGACTTAACCTGGACCTCGAGTATCCGATCGTGATGCAACACACGCTCTCGATAATCGATTAGGCTCACTGAGGTGTCCGCGATACACTCGCTCTTGTTGGCAAGCTGTCAGTGAAGACAATCGCCGGTGTTCTGAGACGGTGAGGAAAAAACAAAATGCAAAATGACGGATGCCATTTGACCCCGTCTCCTTCTAAGAGAAAGGAAGTAGACAACCCGACCCGGACCGCCCACTCAACAAACTCAATTATAGTTGTTGTCGTCGTTACTATCATCATCATCGAACACTTGACATCGACGACCGCGATGCGCTGCTGAGCACTGAAGTTCAGCCGATTGTGTGAGAAAGAAGAAGTCTTCAAAACGCCAGCAAAATCCGAACGGCCCGCGTCACATCCTTGTCAGAAGCCGTGAGCCGATCGGAAGACAAAGGTGACTGAAGACAGCAGAGAACGCGTTCTTCACCGAACCCGGTCTGTTAGAATTCACGTTCGACCCAGATTGGAAATTCTGAGAATCTCGACATGACTCGATTACGAAATCGGACGTCGAATCGAAGAGTTTGACCAGAATCGCGATAAAGAGAGAGACTCTTGACAAAGTCAACTTACAGTTTCTTGCAAATTAACATCCTAATGAAGCTCTGGATAACGATAACAGCTCGGATTTTGCGGTGGGCCTCACGTCGGACTAAGATCCCGCGACATCGAGCCTGGAGCGACACGATGTTAGCCCTGAGCAGTCGGAAGCGGCGAGCAAGCTTGCGCCCTCGCCAAACAGCCTGAAGTCTCTGGAAGCCTCGCATCTGCTTGAGAAACATTCTCCGTTGGAATTTGGTTTTCCACCATTGCTGGATGACGATAGCTGCGGCTCGTTGTCGGACGAATCGACGCCGCCAGTACCTGAAAGGACCGGAGTTGTCGGTCATGCGCCTCTAGGAAAGAAACTGCCTGAAATTCCCTGAGCTCTCGACTCGTGCATCGATTCCGTAACGGAGTCAGCGAATCGCCCAAAACTCAACTGACCAGCCCCTGATGGCTTTCTGTAGAACCAAGATTTTCCTCGTCAGAACTCGGTCTCTCTCCTGCTCGAGGAAGAGATCCTGCGCATCCTTGAGGAATACCTTCGTTTTCCCAATCTGGAAATCTGATTTTCCCAACACCGCCCTCAGGATCTTCGCGGTAGCTTGACGGCAGTCGACCCTGCGAAAAATACATTGTTCCATGAGTAAGTCGGTCTGCTTTGTTTCGTTTTGACGACTGCACGCGTACTGAAAGCGGCAAAGTGAAATCACGAAAAAAGAAGGCTAGAAGATCGGGGAGAACTCAAGAATACGCTGTTGTCCGTGATGGAACAAATCGATGAAGAGATGGGTAGACAGAGAGAAACCCTGCTTATTGAATTACTGTGCATTAAATAAATCATCCAAATCGTGCCGGGTATGCAGGTGATGATCGGCGAGCTTGAAAACATGAGCTCAAAATTCGAGATGTCACAGCTCAAACATCAAGTGAACCCCAAGGAACACGAAGTGAAGGCTAAGAACCTCATCCTATACGGCTTACCCCGTCCAGCACAGGAATCACGGGATACCTCGGAGAGCATCGTTGCCAAAGTATTCTCTAAAACTGGGATCCGAAAGGAAGTGATTGTGGCATATCGACTCGGACAGAGGGAGAATGCACCGATGCTCCAGAGGTTTTCAAGAGGATACGAAACGCCAAAGATCTCTCGCTGTCGACGCTCGGTCTCGGTGGCGATGGCAGGCTCGAGGTGCGATATCACCTCAGCTCTTTCCTAGCCGAATTATTAAAGACGGCGAACGTCGTCAAGAAAGATGCGAAGTTGGCTTTCTGTAGACCGCTCACAAGAACGCAAAGCAAGGAACTGTGCAAATCCAAGGATCCCGATTCGATCAAAATCACACTGTGCTCGATGGGGGAGGTCACAGAGTTCAAGGACAGGCCAGAACAGTCCCGGCGAATCGATGTCAGAGCTCTTCCGTAGATGTGGGGTTCTCCCCCTTGGAAGTCTCCATCTTCGGTGTCTATTCATTGAGGGCCGTATCACAAACCTCAATGGGACGATGGAGACCCTGAATCTTCTGCGATCTGCTCACAACTACCAGACTCTATCTGCATATGCCCTCCGTCCTCCGCTATGTCGAACTATCAGATCCGACGAGTACCATTTGGACCGATATGCCACAGTCCACGATATGCCCGAATCCTGTCTCTCTGACAACACAGAGCTCTCGGTCGGCGTCGCAAAGAGGAAGAAGACGATGAAATAATTTGTCTCATCCGAAACCGCAGATCGAGTCCCTATCCTTTTTTCTTAGTTTGCTAGTTTTATGTGCCTTCAACTTCTCAGCGACGATCTCAACGCTGCATAGATTTAGGTATCCAGGCGCGTCAACCAGCTCAAAGCTCTTTGCGTGATGCATAGCTGCTGACCACTGACAGGGCCTTGCTCTAAAGGACTTGCCTTATAAATCCCGCATCCCCAATAAAGCCGAGCGCCTTTTCCAGAGAAAAAGAAGTTGATCCGGGAAGGGAAACCTTCTGCGGCTGGATTTCCTCGGGGAAATTCCTCCGAGTACCTGTAACTTACTTGTGCGGTGGAGGAACTCCAGGGATGAGGAAGCGATACCGTTCGACGAATTCACGGAACGTGTGACGGATAGGATAGCCGGCCCGCCGAATCCGAATGGTCTCCATCATACCCGAGTAACGGAGTTGCTTGCAGCAGAGCTCTCGATCGAACATTTTGGGTTTCTTGAATTCATTTGGTTTGATGCATCGTATGAAATAAGGATGACACTGACTCAGAGCTTTCATCAAAGAGTCGAGCGATCGCTTGAATTGAGCGCTCAGGGTCGGCGTTTTCTTCCGAGTGTCCGTTCCCTGGAAATTTCCAATCATTCTCGGAAACTTGAACGATTTTTTCGAAATAGTTTCCGAGTTCTATGCCGGGGTCGTTTTATGGAGAGTCGCGATGACGAGGAAGCATCTGTAGCGCAGACGGTGACTTACCATGTTGACTTCATTGATGAACAGATTTTGCATGAAACGATTCTCGCTCATTTGTATCAAATGGATGAGGTCAGCACTGAACGTGTCTCGATTCTTCTCCAGGAAACCATTCGTCTCGTATACGACAACACCGGCAAAGTGACACATTCCGAACGAGGTACTGATGTCCGACTTCGGTTTGAGGTAATTACGGTTAATCGAATGCTGTTTATGGAGCTTGTTAAGGAGCGTTATGTCCGTTCCTGGAATGAAGGAACAAGCTCCGTTATCCTTGTGTTACAGACAGGACGACCAAGCTCAGGGAAATGAGTCTCCCTTTCCGAATGGGAATTCTTATCTCTACGACTCTGCGCAGTGGCGTACCCGAGGGGGGGGGGCCAAGGAGGCCATGGCCCCCCCCAAAATTCTTTTTGCGTAATGCTGGACTACAGGGTACCTCAACATTTTGGACCTCTGGCCCCCCGAAAACCTAGTCTGGCCCCCCCCAAAAAAAAATCCTGGGATCGCCCCTGACTCTGCGGGCTTCCCCTCTCAATTTCACCTTTTGGGAACTTCGACTCTTCGTCGATGAGAGCCATGATATTCATTGGCTTGACGGCGATCATGTCGAGAGCTTCCTGATTGTCGACGAATTCAATGTGTTGCCAATTGATCGCTTCGAGATTGTATTCCTCCTGTTCCAGCTTGAAAATGTGTTGCACGAAAAATTGTTGGAGATTCTCGTTCGCGTAGTTGATGCAGAACTGTTCGAAGGAGTTCACGTTGAAGTTCTCGAAACCGAATATGTCGAGCACCCCGATCGAGGTCCGATAGTGTTGCGAAGACTGCTTTGGTTTGTAGATGGCTGCGTTGATTTTGTTCACGATTCTAATGAACATCCTGCCGTAGATTCCCTTGACGAACGCGTCTCGGACATCCCGGCTCTGCGCGACGCCCATATTCGAAACCACGGTATCTCCGTGCGCGAATATCGTTCTCGTAGTGAGAGCCTGGGTCATCTGTCCGACTTCAACCTGGAGGAGCTTGGATGCGCTCTGTATGGCCGAGCTCCGCACGATTTCGACAGCGTCCAGATTGTTGATGAGCGTCGGTTTGAACTGTATGTTCCCGAGATGGAGGACAGCGGCGAGAATTTTCATTATGTCCCAGATTTCGTCGTCCGAGAACATGAGGACCTTCATCGCGGAACGGATGTCGCTGAACTCGCGGGCATCGTCCCTCCCCTCACAAGTGATCGACCCGCCGCCGGTCAGGTAGATGTACTTTGAGCAATCCAGGAGATCCAGTCGATCTTTCTCTTCTCGACTCAATCCGGCAAGTATGCAGTAGAAAATGTGATAGTTTCGCTCGTCTTGAGCCTGCGAAACGATGCGAGACTTTTCCAGCAGGTACTGCTCGATCCGCGCACCTTCGATCACACCGCCTTTATTGAAATGGATATCGATGTATTTTCCAAATCGACTAGAATTGTCATTGCGGATCGTCTTCGCGTTGCCGAAGGCTTCGAGTATCGGATTCGCTTCCAGGATCTGCTGCTCTATCCAGCTATGCTGACCGGATATGGCTGCCAGATACTGGAGAATTAGTTTGGTGCTTTCGGTTTTGCCCGCACCCGACTCCCCCGAAATGATTATACACTGGTTTACGTGGAAGCGTTTCATGTTCCCGTAAGCGTTGTCTCCGATGGCGAAAATGTGCGGCGGCAGCTCGCCGATCTTCCGTTCACGGTACATTTTAATCTGATCCGCCGTGTAGATCGGTAAAATTTGGTAAGGGTTGACTGCGACCAAAATCGACCCGGTGTAAGTCTGCGAACGAGAAAGCGAGTAGGCATTCAAATTCATGCGGGAGGTTGGCGTCCGTGAGTTGGTGGGAATTTCCATCCATTGATATGCAGCTGATCCTTGATAGAGGGAAGGAGAGGTCGATACTCACGTATATAAGGTTGTCATTATACCGAATCAGAAGATTGCGGAGGATTCCGGCTTCGTGCAAGTCACCGAGTGAGATCATGTCTTCCACTCCCTGCACCGATGTGGGGTGCATGGCCTTGATCCTGCGCTCAGGAGCAAGCCAGTTTTCCTGACCGTCGTCATCCCTAATTTGGATGCGGCGTCCTTCGGCAGATATGACCTTAGCTCCGATGGCCACGTCGAATTCCTTCCTTGTCTGGGGCTCAATCCAGATGAAGTCACCCTGAGCATAAGATATTCGATCATTAGATGAGTCTCGAGTTCTTCTTTCTAGCATTCGTTCAGCCCATAAATATAACCCAAATATGAAATTCACGAGAGTTCCCGCTTCCGGAACCATTGATGGAGTTGGCACGACTCCCCCCCCCCCGCCTACTGCGGGAGCGCGAGAATCGATCGTGGAATGGATGATCGAATGAATTGTATTCATCGACAGCCCAGAACGCCTGTGGACTCCGCAGTCTCTGATCGAATCCTAGCAAGCCGGATTTCGGGGATAAGGGCTTCTCCGCCAGTTCCGATCGGAGATACGTCGCTTCTGCAAATGATGCTATTCCCGGTCGGAGGGGGGGGACGCATGCACAGAATTTTCTTGCCATGACGTCGAACCTCGCCGCACCAAACTCCCGGCACACCATGACAATCTCAGTCATAGGCCAATCGAGGGTCGGTTTTTTCCCTGATGGTCATTCCCCGCGCCATGAGGGTTCGGAGTCTGGACCAAGTAATATGTAGAAATCGAATCTGCATCCTATTGTGTAGTGACTTTGGCACACCCTGTGCCAGAGAGTTCCACAGAGATACCGGAATCCTGTCCGATATGGGAGAACAGAGCCACAAGCGCGATCCTCAGTCTGGGGGAAATCCGAGCTGAATTTCGCGATCTGCTCCAGAAGTTAGGAACGAGCCCGTTCAGCTCAGCGCGGCAGCCAACAGATTCATAATCGTGATTAGAGAGAAACATTCACACGGGTACCGCTCGAGTGACCTCAGAGAAATAGGATCACTTTTCGTCTAACACGTACGCCAGAAATTCCAGCCGTGGAGAAGCCTAAGATCGAGGCAGAAGTCTCCTTTCCCTAAAATTTCCCAAGCAGTCTCGCGAAAATATCACTTTCGAGGCCGAAGCCGCATGGATTTCAAAAACCAGCTCCGGAATACCCGGCTCCTCAATCAAGACCAAGTACAGCACCAAGTTTCTCCGGCAGCGGCTGAAAGGACCGTCTCGGGCCGAGGCAAGTCGGTAATGATGATAGATCATTGAAGAAAGAATCACGAGAGCTTCCTGCGATTCGGCTTCTGCACCTAGGATCGGAACAAACACCGCCGGCCGGATACTTGAGAGAGCCTTATGAGATACGACGGAGAGAGTCGTTCACGTCTGAGAGAATATAAAAGAGAAGGGAAAATACGGAGCGCTCACCCTCGTGACGATGACCATCTTGCAGGAGACCCCGCCGGGTCGGCTCTGGAAAAAAACAGATGGAATTACGACTGAGATTCGGAAGAAGATTCTGAGAGGAGTACTCTATCAACGTTATCTGCTGAACGAGCGGGTTCGCTCGCTTTGATCATCGCTGAGTGTCAGCCCCGCCCGAGCATTCGGCACGAAGGGTATTTCTTCGCTGAATACACCTACCCACGCAGATCCTCGAGAGAGATACCGCACGGAAATCGTCTTACCAAAAACAATGTTCTCAAATGAGGAAAAGAAAACGGATCGCTCGCGGGAAAAGGAGAAGAGGAGAAAAAATAAAAATGCGGTTAGCAAACGGAGCGATCCGAAGAAAAAGCTTCTTCCCGTCTTTATCGAGTTCCCGATCTACGCGAAGCGGAAGGAAATGCCAAACTGAATTCTTTGAACAAACCCATTAGAAGTCATCGGAGTAATTCAAAGTATTCTTTTGTGTGATGCCGACCCTCGAGCACGCTCCCCTTTGATACATTCGATGGCATCGTTGATATATTGTGACGGTCTGTATCTCACACATTGGAGTCTCGCTCCATGAGTCCTCCCTCAGAATCTTCCTCATGAAGAAGGCAAGGCGACTTGCTCTTCATTTCGACAGAAGAATGTTCCGCCGCATTCCCAAGACCCTAATTGCAGCATGCGGCAAGCAGGTGGATCCTCAGGCCACAACGCGAATGTTCCTCCAACACGAACTTGGCCGCCCGTTGACCGGAGATCGACCCCGCAGCGGCCGAGCCAAGAGGAATCCCAGGTTAAATCAAAAACCGATTTTTGTTTGGACGGCTCAGACGATATGCTTCGGGTTCGTTTTAGAAAATGCTCATTCTGCCGGACAGAAGTGCCCGTTTTACGGAGCGGACAAGTATCGACTTGTGATTCTCTCTGGAAAGGAGCAGAAAAAGTAATTTTCCGACATTTTCGGAGAGATCCATCATCGGATGCTCCTTCAACGAATCATGACCACCGTCATCAAGAATCTCATTGAGGTTCCCTCGTCTCGATTTTCGAATGAGATTCGAGGATTCGATTTCGGATACAGAATTTCTAACATTCCTCAGGTCAAGCCGTTTTTACGGTGTCTAAAGTGTCGAGCAAGTGAGCTTCAGGGGCTGTTTCTGTTGCAGATGCCGACTGGCGTACGGGTTCTGATGTTATTGTAAAGGAGATTCCAGCCGTGCCGAGGAGCAGATGACTCAGTGCGTCTGGACGACACTGTCGGATAGCGTCAAGCGACAGAACAGCGAGCCGGCGTTTAATCGCGCAGCGGAGCGCTCCCCCAGATGACTTCGAAAAAAAACGCTTTGAATAGAGCAGCGGAGCAAGACAATGCGATGTCGACCAAGCGACCCTCCGAGCAGACGAGCGAGCGACGAACGACGCCGCCAGTATGCGAGCAAGCAGCCAACCGCTCTGTTGCTTGTCGGCCCGAACGCCGGAAGTACCGTGTGGGACTTGTCGACGATGACGACGACGACAACAACGTGATGATGATTACAATGATGATGACGATCACCACCGCCAGAGAATCGCTCAACAGCGGGGTCGTGACGGGTCGACCCGCTGTTGTCCCTTCAGACGTCCACTGCGCATTCTCTGCTTTGCTCACCGCTTGTTAGATACACAAACACACAGCGTGTCTTGAGCGACGGCATCCGTTGTTCTTCACAGCTCTTTCACATTTTACTGCGTCGGAGATCGAAGCTCTTCGAAATGGGAGGTCCTCATCGATTCCGGACGGCTTCGTTCGATAGGGCCGATAAGTGATATCGCTCTCGACCCCGGCAGATCTCGGAATCAGAATGTACACACCCGAGCCCTGTGATAATTAATTAATTGATAAATTAAATAATTGATTGAAGAAGCACATGGATGATCGGGCCTCGGGGTAATTCCCATCGGGGGCGATTTGCCGAGCTATCTCGAATCAAGGCGTGGTTCCCAGCGCAAATGCACAAGATTCATATGAAACATCAGTCCAGGCGGCATTGTGAGCGAACTGAGAGCTTCCTCTGACCACCAGACTTGAGAGAAAAATGCGGGGAACGCTGGGTAGATTAATGTGGGCTTCACTGATAGAAGTCCGAGCGAGAAGAGAAAAAAAACTTGTCATGCCTCTCACTCTGCAGGAGCATTGCGGTGACTGAGCTTCCCCGTCCCTTTCTGGCCTACCTCGGAAGCGTTCTTCCAACAGGGACTCCACTAGCCTGAACCTCATCCCCGGCCTCAGAGAATTTCGGAAATTCTTCTTTTCGGTCTTCCTTACATGCTGTTCAGAATCAGCAGTCACGAGCAAATCAGAGAGCTTCGGGTGCCTTCTGTGTCTTGACTGTATGGACGCAATAGGATCGACGGTTTCCCTCCGCAGCTTTCATTCCTCCAAGAGATATACTCCGTACCGAGCGGTACTTGTCCGCTTGGTTTGTTCAGGAATAAAATCAGATATTTTTTGGACGCGTTCGGGACGGGAAACATGCATCTTGATGAATCAGGAGCGTTCCTGAAATGAGACGTCCAGCTCCGCCTGCCCACATATCGCATGGTAATAAATGAGTAGCTGGTGTTGAAGATCGCGGGAGCTTTGTCTGCTTCCCTACGCCCACCTGAGACATCGCTTGGCTCATATGATAATGATGATACAACAAGAAAATCATGACGAGGGTAATGATGCGAGGAAGGCATTTAACGAAGACGGTGTCCGAGAATCTCGAGCTCTCCGTCGGTGGATAAGCGTGCCACGACGAATATTGCAGAAAACTCAGCTCGGAACAAGACTTGCTATGCCGGACATTACCTCGCTTTTGAAGTCCGAAGTCAAGGAGCTCAGAATTCTGCAGTCCAAGGGGAGAACACTTCGCTAGCCGAGAGCCTCGGCAAAAGAAGCGCCGACTTTAATTTTGTGATAATTTGTTCCCGGAATCGGGTTCTCACGCGTGGCGAGCAGCGAGATTTCGGAAGATATGAGACCACTGACATCACTAATTCCCTCCGCAGACTTATTCAATTTATTATCAGGCTGGGAGAGAACGGTTCAAGCTCCTGGAAACTATCAGCCGAGACTTTTCCAACGCGGTTCTGAGTTTTGGATTGGAAGGAAACAATGTTAGTCTGTGTGAAGGCGTGGTTCCTCCAGTCGGCGTGGTAGCGACAACGAGAGCCCTTATCGCGGTGAGGATTCCAGTCGTCGCCTTCATAAACACAAGACAATGATCAGGCCCGGAGGGCGTGACCTCTCGATGTGAATCGTTTTGTTTGCTTCGCGAATGTCATTATTTTCTTGTCGGGTGAAATACTGCTCGTACCCCTGCAGAAGCTCTAGCTCTCCATGGAACGAGTCTGGGCGCACCGTCCCCGTAATCGCATGGATCATCGCAATGGACGCACGTTCCGGCTGCGACGCTTGAGACGAAGAGCAGCGGACTGAAAGAGAGAACCCGATGGCTCACAGAAACAGCCATTGAGCTCAAAGAAGTTCAACTCCGCCACACCCTGCGGTGCTACACTTCTCACGATGAATCCTCCAACGACGGCATCTGAGCTCACCAGATGATGGGGGACTTAAGCGTCGGTCTTCGTAAAGAAATCGTCGTCGACAACAGCCGGTAGCAGAGAATGTCTTTGTGTAGGTGAAGCCGCGTGCCGATGGCTGGAGATTCGGAGATGGCTCTTCAGCCGCCTTTTTCCGGGCCCGGATCAGATTTAGTTGGGCACAAAGACCATCCGAACCTCCGAAGCTGTCATCACGACTGCATCCGAGTGAACACGTTGTTCCGAGCGCTCGTCATCAGCGAACAGCTGATTTTCTCGCCTCTTGCGCCTTTGCGTGAGACACAACTTCATCCTGACGTGGATCTATCAAGATCTATGTTACCAAACTTTCATGAAGAGATTACAGGGTACATTATACTCACAACGATCAACCGAATGCCCGAGGAATTAACTCATCCGAGAACCGTATACTTTTTCGCAGGAATTATTCTCAAAAATCGGTACTCCGAATGGTAGGGAAGTCGAGCGTTCCGTACAGAATGATTCCAATTACGATAGTCAGAACCCGAAAGAAAACGAATGCTCGTTTCATAAACGGAAGCTTCCATATATATTTATTTCCCATGGATTCGAACCCAAAATGTTATCGCGAACATACGAGACACCTCCGGATCACCGTCCCGGCGCAAGGGGGCCTGTAAAATTCCTCTTCCCAACGGAAGTTAATGCTTAGCGATCTCCCACTCGCTGTCGATGCGCATCGGACCTTCGATCTTGACTCCCGAAGCTGTACAGTTGCCGATCTGATAATCAGGGAACGCAGCTGTGTTCCTGTAGTAAAGAACTCGCAAGACGCTCTGAAGTGCCTCGACAGCTGCTTGCAACGGCAGTTTGCCGTCGTGCTTCTCCACAGCCTCTCGCATGACACCCATGCCGAGGTAGTTTCCGAAACCGGTCGAGTACAGATTGGTTTCGAAAGCAGTTCCTATCATGTCCACGACGCCCATGAATGGTTTACCGTCCTGCATACCGGTTACGATTATATTCGTCCACAAGGGGTTGAAGTTGTTGCGTCTTTGATACAGAAGCCGGCTCAGATAGACGTACAGAGACCGGGGCTTCATTTGGAATCCTTCGTTCTTACGTTCCTCATCAATCATTTTCGCTTCAATGATTTTCTCCAGGTACTGGAAATCGGCAAAGTCGCCCGAGACTCCGATCATTGTGTTCTCGTTGATTTTGAGGATCCGGGGTTGGTGGGGAATCCGCGTAAATCGCGTTGTAGCACCCATGTCAGCGGCCAACAGGACACCGTTTTCGTAGCATAGTCCTATCACGGACCCACTCATGTACGTCGGCTCTTGGGTTCTCTGTCTAGGAGCCACCAGTGATTGATTCCTCGTTTCTGCACACGGTGACATTTGGGAAGAAGGATCAAAACCCTCACTGTGGAAAATTGCATCCCTCATGAGTGCCATCTTGATGACTATGTTGTTTTTCTGCTTCGGAACAGCGCTTGTGTCGAGTTCGAGCCATGATGGCAAGTGGCGCGTGTCGGGGATTCGGTGCAGCGCGCGCAGTTTCAAAACTGACCGACGTCTCCTGTCCCTGGCGTCTCGGCGCCCATGGCGCTCGTTCCAGCTCGCCGTCAGAATCGACTGGTGAGCGACTGACTCAGCGCTGGTTGGATAGACGCATCGAGAATTCTCAATAGGCTTTATATTCTGGGTATCCGGGCGGAAGTCGACGAATCAAAGCTATAGCTTCGCATTAACGGTCTGTATCCAAGGAATGGAAGATAAAGACTGTTCAATGTCCGCAGCGTTTCCGATCGGCGAGGTTGTTGAAGGAGCTCCCGGATCGGAGCAAGAAGTCCGTCAAAGCTTGTTAGATCCGTCATCTAGGGCTAGCTCATCTCGGGAGGATGTCATTTCCGTACAGAGCTCCTGTTGCGGGGGAAACCTCTGGGCGTAATCCCCCCTTAGAAGTCTCTGATGCAGAACTTGCCGCAAGCTTCAAAAAGCGCAAAACGTAACGCCGTTCTGCAAGGCCTGTGACGGAAGCTATATTTTTAAGTACTCCCGACTAAGTGAGCGCGGTCAAAACGACAGCCCGCGGTTTTTGAACTGTAGGAAACGTCGTTACTTCTTTCTTCATTGCGGCGATTTTTTCCGAACTCATTCTTCAGATGCTGGTTGAAACGAGGCTGGTGCCACACGGAAGCCTGTTCAGGTGAATTCGACAGCTCCGTAATGCCAGCAGAATGTCATACAATATTATCAGCGCGAAGTCGATCGCTTATGGAACTGGGTCTCGTCACCTTTTTCTGCACCGAGAATCGATGACGGAAATAGTTTCAGTTTCGAGCTGTGCAGTCGAACACTCTTCATGTACGCAGAGGATCCCGGGCTCGGCTCCCCGAAAAAGAGACGAATGTTTCGTTTTCCATTTCGACTGAATCGCCGTCAAGCTGCAATAAGGCGCTATCACCGAAAGCTCCCATTCGACATGGAATCGTTCCGACGAGTCCTTACTTTGCGGCGAACCACTGGGACCTCTTCCGATGCTGCTGCCGCTGCTGTCACGGATATCGTGTTGCTTTTGTGACAGAGAGCTTGTCGGGCACACGCGGTCGGTAGAAGTCACGTTATTCTTTGCCAGTACTGGGCATAACTCGATTCCATCAGACCATAATTCCTGGATATCGGTGGCTCGAGTCGCCTACCTAAACGAGATAATCTTCACGCAGCGACGGGTACCTCGCTCATGGAATTGCGGTGTTCCGAGACCGCAGAAATCGTTCGAGCTCCAAGGGGTATAATCGGCGCTCTGTCTGCTTGGCCTCCTCTTCTGGCGGCTGGTACCTCGAGCTAGAACTCAGCACGAACTCAGAAGCGAAGAGCTCTGACGGAAAGGGTCCGGGAGTTTTCCGATCAAATTTTTCGTGCGGCGGAGCCCGCCGATCGCACAAGGATTGTGCCATCGTCGAGAGTATCCAGATATGTCCCGCGTCGACGGCGTAAACCGTGGAAGTCAACATCGGGAAGGAAACCGACTCCGGGAGATGTGACGCCCGGTGGTTACCCTCAGGAATGTCGCGGGCTAGAAATCGATTCCTATTTCATTCCCCACCGCGAGCGGCAAAGCCCATCACCTACTTCAAGAACTACTCGGGAGCTTCCGGGGCTCAACCGAAAAGTTCGCTCGCATTCCGAGGCAGCCTCCGAAGTTGAGACGCGGGCTGCCACCAAGTGCTTCAAGGATCGGCAGGCATGAAGGTGTTGAAAAATTGAATCACCCTTGACAAGATCGCGCATTCCGTGTCGGCGCTCGACCCGAAGAGGTTGTTGAAGATCCAGAGCGAGATTCGTTTGATTCCGATTGGGGTGTAGCGACGCATGCAACGGACCCGGGTCAATGAGTCCGCGTGGTTTATGTCGCTCTACAGATTGAATCCAATTGAACCGACTTTATCAATGCGATCCATCGATCGCTATTGCTTTGATGCTTGCTACAACCGATGGCGGTGGTGATATGATAAATCATTCTGGAGCGAGGAGAATCTTCTGAAGAAGACTTGGCATTCGGCGCTGAATGAGATCCGCTGTCCGCCCACTTCCAGTCGATTCCTTCTCGGTGGGCCGAGAAGGAATTCAAGTATTTCGCACCCGATACTCTGCATGGCTTCTCGATGGATTCAGCCAGCACCGTTTGACAGTTCCAAGTCCTCGTTTCAGCTTGAGTCGCGTCATCGGATGGGATGGAGAAAAATCGCCGAAAATACTGCCGCTTTCGATGTGCCCGAGAGAGTATCGAATCGTCGACACATTGACTGACTGAGTGAGTGAATGAGATGTAAATAGCCGGCATATTCGATTCAATCGAGGGATTTCGATCGCATCGGTAACCACGGAGGGAATCCCGACCCCGGACCGAAGGCTGAGGAGAAGCTTCTCATCTCCACGGGGATCCGCGCTACTTCATTCGTCTTTCGAATTCCTGCGGCGATCCTGCGGAAATCGAAGGACTTCTAAAGTATACCTCCTCCTTAAGGGAAATCTACTGACATAGAGACAGGTCGGGTAACATTTTAAGTGAACCTCGTGTGGAAATTGAGGATGATGGAACAACTGCAGAGAATTTCGAGGACTGCGAAATCCGTTGACCAGGAGATGGAATGTTCTGCGGTCCGAGCCCCGCGCCCAAGAGTCACTATTCATTATTTTCGAAGACGGGACTCCAGGGAATCTCTCCGATAGCATATATTCGAGCTCTGAATCAGCGCAGGTCGTTCGACAGGAAGCAAAGAGGGAATGATTCATTGAAACATTCCCGGACTATCGAGCCGGCGGATAACTATGATATTTTCGCACACCAGTTAGGCAAGCCTCGCGTTGCATTGAGCTCATTTGGTGGTTTCCAATCCGATCGGGGGGAACGGGTCTTCCAATCAGTGATCGCAGAACTAATTCTCGGTCGAATTTTATTTCGAACGGCTCCACAAATCAGATGAGTCCGCTCCACTCCTATCTCCACCATTCCACCAGTTTTGGTCAGCGGTTTTTGCATTTGTTTTTTTTTTTATCCCGCGCAGTGTCGGTAGACGGGTTCTGCATGGATTCTGCGGATGGCAGCGGCAGGCTCGTCGTTCCGTGCTCGCTGAATGGCTCCGGAATGCATATAGTCGGCCGTCAGGTCACACAATGTTCAAAGGACAATATTGCCAGAATATTCTATCGCTCTTTAATGTCTCTCCCGATGACTGAATTCTGGCTGGGTCCAAGTTCGGCGCGCGGTATCTCCTCTTTGATTTCCGCGCCACATTAAATTTCTTCAGTCCCGGTCGCCCCGAGAGGACTTTGGGAAATCATTTCCCGCATTCTCCCCCCGTGCCGGATAGCTCTAATGTTCTTCTAAGCATGAGAAATCAGAACCGAATCTTCGTCGGACGTTCTGGTGACAGACACGAATATTCCAAAGTGTCGTCTGAGGGGTGGTACTCCACGATCCCCGGAGGACCGTTATTTCGCCTTTGATTTGTTCTTCTGCCGGAGCATGGTTCCTGGATTTTCCACGCCCAAACGTGGAATGAGAAAACATGCGATGCTCCGATGGTTCAGAGGAGAGCCGCGTTCTGGGGCATCGTGTTTCGCAAGTCTTTTCACCGAAATCGATCCATCGTGGCCGAGTGGGGAGAGAAAGAAGCGGCAACCCGAAAAAGTGTGAGAGTAAAGACACGCGTAAATGATCGTCTTTCCATTCCGCCGGTCGGCGGTCTTCGCCACCACCGACTACCGTCTGGTTGCTGGAGCGGCCGCAAACAAACGCCCCCGCAAGCGATATATTTCCGCCGAGAGTTTACCGTTAGCCTCCTTGTTGCGACGTACATCTGACGCGGTTTTTCTGTAGAGCCGCCAGCGATGGTGCTCGTGGATTCCTAAAAATTCTGACAAAAGCCCAATGACAACGCTATGTGCAGCGTGACTCAGTTGGTACATTTCTCCCTCGAGAGGCAAACGACCGAAAAAAATATGCGATGCCTTCAGGCCGGACGGTGTCGCATTCCGTTCCATACTTGCGGCTACTGTCGCTGGCAAAAGTTGTCAAGGTGTCAAATAAAGCGACTTGCAGACCAGCTGCCTGGCCGTCTGAGTGAAAATCTAGAATACGCCAATTTAGAAGACAATGCTAGGAAGCGACGTCGTTCCTCCACGGAGCGGCTCGAATTCAAATTAAAACCGAAAAATCGCAAGCCCGTCGCGTAAGCATCTGAACGCAGCGCGGAAACACAAGCATTACCACGAAGAGCTGTCAACAAGAAACGAGAAAACGCGTCGACTTCTTTTGGTTGCGAAGGAGAACTTCCGAATTTTCAACGGAATAGTTCACAATTTCCCCCAAGACACTTTTCCAAGGGAACAGGCCACGGGGAACCGACCGCTTTCTTCCATGACCGTTTGACGGAGTCGACTACATATCGCATTACCTGTCCGAGCTAGACCTACTCAGGACGGTAAGTCGGTCGATGACATGTATGCCTTATGCCAGCTCCCCTTGCCGCATGAGTCACCGATGGCTGCGCTTGATGATATTTAATCGCGAGGGAGAACTGGAGCTCGATGAATGCATATTTCCGCAGCCCGAGCCACGGAGGGGGGTTGCGAACTTCGTCGATAGAATCAGGGAGTCCACAGAATATCTCACGATGATTCCACGGGATTCCCGCCGACTTCGACGATCAGTCGGAAGTGCCCGGAATCGAACCAACCAAAAATAAGACTTCTCTCAGGAGCCGTTCTGATTCCGATATCTGATACTCCGATATGTGATGGGTCGTGAACGAAGCGACCGTCATATCGAGTGACTGTTTGCAGCTGTAAGCTTTTCATATTTAAATCCACACCATTGAACAGAACATATGCTCGAGCGGCACGTGGAGTATCCCGTCGTTGCCATGCGGCAAAGCTTTTGGAAGCCCATCGCATCGGTGTGACGCTCCC